GACATAAACCAAAAAGTCCATAATATGATGTTGTGTACAAGTTCCTTATGTTTTAAAGACTAAGAAACATAATGGATTGAAATAAATAAAAATACAGAAAAAAAAAGATTCAGGCAGGACAAATACTGGTTATACATTTTGTTGACATATAAAATAGTTTCTGAACAGATATGAAATATTCAGGACAGAACAGGGTGAAATATCTCCACTAACAGTATACATTCATTACACTGCATATTAGTTTGACCTGCATGTCATAGAGGATTCAGCATATGTCTACAAAAATGAATACTCATTTTAGTGAAGCTGCCTGTGTCTGCTGCAGTTTACGTTCAAATGTGCTTCTTCTTTTCATTGAAGTTATCCACAGTGGTTAGATATGGTATTTATTTTACGTAACAGTAACAATTCAATTATAATATTACTTGAGAAGAAAAAAGTATGGTTCAGTGAATATAAAATCAAATCAAAAAGTTACTCAAGTAAATGTAACTGAGTAGATGTAACTAGTTACTCCCCACCACTGAATATAGATTTTTGACTCAGGATAAGTTAATTGCAATGTCAATGTTCAGGCTTGAACAGGTGGCTCTATCTGCTGTTCATCCTTAGTCATTGCATCCTTGCTGTCTATTATCTGTCTCATTTTAACAGGTGGAAATATACAGTGGGGCAAAAAAGTATTTAGTCAGCCACCAATAGTGCAAGTTCTCCCACTTAAAAAGATGAGAGAGGCCGGTAATTTTCATCATAGATATACCTCAACTATGAGAGACAAAATGAGAAAAAAAATCCAGAAAATCACATTGTCTGATTTTTAAAGAATTTATTTGCAAAATATGGTGGAAAATAAGTATTTGGTCAATAACAAAAGTTCATTTCAATACTTTGTTATATACCCTTTGTTGGCAATGACAGAGATCAAACGTTTTCTGTAAGTCTTCACAAGGTTTTCACACACTGTTGCTGGTATTTTGGCCCATTCCTCCATGCAGATCTCCTCAAGAGCAGTGATGTTCTGGGGCTGTTGCTGGGCAACACGGACTTTCAACTCCCTCCAAAGATTTTCTATGGGGTTGAGATCTGGAGACTGGCTAGGCCACTCCAGGACCTTGAAATGCTTCTTACGAAGCCACTCCTTCGTTACCCGGGCGGTGTGTTTGGGATCATTGTCATGCTGAAAGACCCAGCCACGTTTCATCTTCAATGCCCTTGCTGATGGCAGGAGGTTTTCACTCAAAATTTGACGATACATGGCCCCATTCATTCTTTCCTTCACACGGATCAGTCGTCCTGGTCCCTTAGCAGAAAAACAGCCCCAAAGCATGATGTTTCCACCCCCATGCTTCACTGTAGGTATGGTGTTCTTTGGATGCAACTCAGCATTCTCTCTCCTCCAAACACGACCAGTAGAGTTTTTACCAAAAAGTTCTATTTTGGTTTCATCTGACCATATGATATTCTCCCAGTCATCGTCTGGATCATCCAAATGCTCTCTAGCAAACTTGAGACGGGCCTTGACATGTACTGGCTTAAGCAGGGGGACACGTCTGGCACTGCAGGATTTGAGTCCCTGGCGGCGTAGTGTGTCACTGATGGTAGCCTTTGTTACTTTGGTCCCAGCTCTCTGCAGGTCATTCACTAGGTCCCCCCGTGTGGTTCTGGGATTTTTACTCACCGTTCTTGTGATCATTTTGACCCCACGGGGTGAGATCTTGCGTGGAGCCCCAGATCGAGGAAGATTATCAGTGGTCTTGTATGTTTTCCATTTTCTAATAATTGATCCCACAGTTGATTTCTTCACACCAAGCTGTTTACCTATTGCAGATTCAGACTTCCCAGCCTGGTGCAGGTCTATAATTTTGTTTCAGGTGTCCTTTGACAGCTCTCTAGTTTTGGCCATGGTGGAGTTTAGAGTGTGACAGTTTGAGGTTGTGGACAGGTGTCTTTTATACTGATAACGAGTTCAAACAGGTGCCATTAATGAAGGTAACGAGTGGAGGACAGAGGAGCCTCTTACAGAAGAAGTTACAGGTCTGTGAGAGCCAGAAATCTTGCTTGTTTGTAACTGACCAAATACTTATTTTCCACCATATTTTGCAAATAAATTCTTTAAAAATCAGACAATGTGATTTTCTGGATTTTTTTTCTCATTTTGTCTCTCATAGTTGAGGTATATCTATGATGAAAATTACCAGCCTCTCTCATCTTTTTAAGTGTGAGAACTTGCACTATTGATGGCTGACTAAATACTTTTTTGCCCCACTGTATCTTCCTGCAAGCTGGGCAGCTGATAGGTCATGATGTTGACATTACATGTACTAACTGAGTTGATCATCCACAGCGGCTTCATGTTGCTTCTTATCATTCAACAGTGACAAAGATGAATTTATGGAGGTTTTATCCTGGCTCTCAGCATGATCAACACAGTAAACAATGAAAATCCAAGGCAGGTTTATCTCTATGGGACATTTTGGTAGCAAGCCAACTGTGCTGCACACAGTTTTGTGAGTGTTACTTTAAAAATATCTATTTATAGTAAGTAGTTACCTATCTGAAAAGTATCTAAATTAGTAATTTAGGTACTTTTATTTTTATCTTATTTTTTTATTAAGGATTTACACAATTAATTAAAAGGATTACGCCTCTGAAAACTTTGTATTCTGATCTACACCATTTTAGTGTGTGTGATGGGACAAGGGAGCTGCAATACAGCATATTTATGAGGATAGTATTGTGTGTTTTGTGAACAATAAAGAAATAAGGATAGAAAGGATAAGGGGAATACAGCAACTTAGATGTTTTAGAACTTTATATTTGTGTTAATTTAGAGGCTGCCTAATGCCTTTAGCCTGAAAAATGAAGCTGAAGCTGATAAATATTGCTTTACTAGCAATTTCACAAAACCAAAACCACTGTGCAACACAATTTTAGCAAAGGTTAAACTCTTTGTGAAATTCATGAACAACACAAGGAGGAACATGCTGTCAGCCAGGTGACAGTCGGTGTTAAATTAATGTGAGGAACTAATTTGGATTAGAAATTCTTCTAATCGGTTATATGGGCCATTCAACAAAATTGGTGCAGTCAGAGATGGAAACATCTGGGTGAAAAAAAACATTTATGTTAATTGAACAATATCCAAGGTACAGCTTTCTCGTACAGGTAGCTCTGTGGCTTTGTTGGTCAAAGTGCCTGATCCGTAAACAAGAGGTCCTGGCTTCAGCTCCCAGCATGCTAGGCCGCCACAGGATTAAGGGGAATAGCGGCCTAGTGGTTAGGGCATATAGCTTTGAATCCTGAGGTTCTGAGTCCAAGCCCCACTCTGACAAACTGCCACTAAACCCCACACTGCTCTGCTCAATGGCAGCCCACTGCTCCCCAAGGGGATGGGTTAAATGCAGAGATAAATTTCTCCAATGTCAGATCAATAATGTTCAATTAGTCACTGAAATAAAAGGTAATTTCATATGGTTTTGGAATACAGGGTTATATTGATATTTTAAAGTTCTCTTTGCATCTATCTTGTAAAGATATTTTTTGAAATTTTGTTTCTCAAAATTATTTAATTTTGACTTTTTAAAAGTGATTTATCAGAATTATTGGATTTTGAGTATATTTTTCTTTGTTAAGGCTATAAATGTACAAAATATTTCATTTTGTCAAAACATTTCATTTCATTTCATGTTTGAGTGAAAAAACTGACAGATGAAACATGCTTAAAGGTGTGGTCCTGAGTTATAACCCAATAAGCTTCTGAGGATCAACCATGTCAGGACATATTAGGACAGGCCTCAGGAACTGTGGTTATCCCAGATGGACTTTTAAAAAAAAAAAAAGAAAAAAGAAGAGGCCTGCTGAGAAGGAAAGAAAAACAGAAGAAGGAACATCGTCATTCCATATGTTGCTGGAATCTAAGAAAAAAATCAGGAGGATTTTCAACCAGAATTGGATCTCTGTGCACTACAAACCCAACAACACCCTGAGAAAAAACTGTTTCACCCCAAAGGATAACCAAAAAGTCTTCACTACACCATTTAGTGTAGTGAAGACTGCACAGACCTTTACATTGGAGAGACCAAGCAACCGCTACACGGTTGCATGGCTCAACACAGGAAGACCAACTCCTCAGGACAGGACTGAGCTGCTCACCACCCCTGAAGGCTAAAGGACACTTGTTTGAGGACAACAACATCCATATTCTGGCCAACAAAGAAAGATGGTTTGAGAGAGTGGTTAAGGACGCCATCCTTGTTAACCCGGCTTCTGAATCTTCAGATGGCTTTGCCTAAGACTTAAGTCCTTCACTTAAGGTTGGACTTTAAAAACATACATTTAGATATTTCGTTTCCACAATCACGCTTACAACCCTTCTTAGTATGACAGCTTTATTCCTAGCCCAGGTTAATGATATTCACTTTGACCAATGGATCCCTCTAAGTACCTTTTAGGCCTGGGGGGTCACTGCCCTTTGATACTGTGCATTGCATTCTACATTTCTTACCTCTATAAATGTGAACCTTCCAGGGTAGTAAACTTGCTCAGATATACACTTTCAATATTCAACATTTTTCTAAACATATATCCATGGACTGTCACACAAATATCCCAAATACTTAGAAGTCATACAAAGACAGACTATAAATACTTCAACATTTTTCCGAGATAATCATTAAACATTGTGACAGGGCAAAAACTGTGGGTGTTTGCACATGTATTGGTGGTTTGTTTTGGCTTGCAGTACTTTGGTGTAGCACAAGACATTAGGATGATTAGAATATTCAGAAATTTAATTTTTACCAGTATTCAGTGGAAAGAGAAGATCAATATGTTTTTGCTAAAAAACATGGTCAGTTTGCACTACTGTGTGTTTACCATCTTTACACAGAGCCCAGAGCAGCTGTATAGGAGGTGGGAGAGCAAGAGAGGAAGCACAGATGAGAACAGCGTCACAGGCAGCAAGCAAGAGGAGAGGAGGTGAGTTCATATGGAGGAGGAGTTTGACAGAGAGGCAGGGAGCCTGTGATAGACCGTGAGAAAGAGCAGGAGAGAGATAGAGGCTGTGAGTGAGGGAGGAAGATGCTGTTGCCAGGGAACGAGGCTGAAATAGCTGGAACTATCTTTTACAGTTTGGAAGAGGATGAAGAGGCAGTTAAAGATGGATACAAAATGGAGTAAATTGGAAGAAAACAGGTGGTCCTGATCACGGACAGCATCACAGAATCGAAGTAAAAGGTACGTAGCTATGATTACATAAGCATCAGAACACTGCTCCCATACGGCTGACATCATCCAAAAGGATTAGAGCCCAGGGGCTTTAGTGTTAGCAGGCGGAGGAAGATGAGGAGGGAACAGAGGGATTCAGCAGAGAAAAACAGAGGCAAAAAGTGAGAAAAAATAAAACAGAGGGATCGACATGCTGCATGTTAGATACAAAGAGTTAGGATAATCTTTATTTCCAGAATCCAGTCCAGGGTCTGCTGGATTAAAAATTAATGCACTGTGATGAAACCATCTGACTCTCTTCATTTTCTACACAGGAAAACATATCTTGCCTTCATTGGCTTCATTAGTAAGAACAGGAGCTAGGCAGCTTCCCTAAAAACAGGAGAGCACCGCCTGAAAATGTAAACAGCGATGAACCTCACCCACCAATTTTAAGGAGGGGCAAGTGAAGCAAGGCAGAGTCATCAGAGGAGAACAACACCGATATACTTTATAATGTGAGTGTTTTTTAAATATAGTGTTGCACCGACACCATTTTTTCGGCCCCAATACGATACCTGGCTGTGCAGTATCGGCCGATACCGATACCATACCGATACCATCTGTTTGAAATTGATGTGTGTGTGTATATATGAAGAACTGCATACCACTTGGATGTAAAATAATGCTAAGCTAATACAAAGTGAATCCAGTAGAACTTTTTATTGCCTACCTGGAACAGGTGACAATAGTTGAATAAACATTTGGCTCTCAAAATGGTATTGGTGCCCTATTTGTTGGTACTCGCCAATATCAAAACCACCATTGTAGTGCTGGATTGGTGCTCCGTCCGATACTGGTATCGGTGCAACGCTAATTTAATAACATTTTTATCCCAGAGGTTCTGAGTTCAAGTCCCAGTCCCAAAAACTGCCACTCCGTGTCCCTGAGCAGGACCCTTAACTCCACACTGCTCGCAAGGCGCCGCACAATGGCAGCCCACTGCTCCCCAAGGGAATGGGTTAAATGGACAGAGTGAATTTCGTTGCTTTGTTCTTGTGACAGTGCAATGACAATATAGTTGAATTCAATGCATTCAAAGAGACAGCACAGAAGTAAGAATGATTTTTAATGAAATTACTAAAAGCATCCATACGCCTGTCCGTCCATCCATCTTCTCTCATTTTATCCATCAGGGTCACAGTGGGGCCAGTCCCTATATAAAAAAATGACAAATAAAAAAAGCTGTCATATGTGAACACTGTGAATATACTGTATATATTCCATGCACCTTTTTCTTCCTTTGGCACATTCTTCTTCTTTGACTATTTTAGCTGATGTACATTTTTCCACTGTGAGATCAATAAAGTCAATCATCGGTTTCTATGTGTGAAAGGTGGGGTACACCCTGGACAGGTCAACAGTCATTTGCAGAGCAAAACTTTCTTTAAAAAGCCACTGACATGTACGGAAAAGCATAAAACAAAACTTTCTGAGCACAACAACCAAGAGGATGATTATGCTGCAAAGAACATATCAACTGGTCATTGTTGACATGTGTGTCTCACGCAGAGTTTCTAGATCATCAAAAATAATTGTCTGTTTTTTTCACTGCACTTTTCTTTTAAGCCAACTCTACCTGTTGTTTTTAGGCTTTAAAAAGAGAAGAACACCACGGAGAACATGTCTAGCTGTAAAGCTAGATCTAATGATAATATTTTTAAATCTTTCAAAAGATTCTCACCAAAATCTAGATATGTTTTATTTATAAAAGGAAGTAGTTAATGTCATAAAGTTTTAATAGATGATCAAATAAATGCCTTTGATCCTGTATTGTTGTTTGTTTTGTTTTTTTAGATCATGCTGCCAAGGATTCCCAAAGATCTCTCCCTTCTTATCTTTAGATAAAAACACATTGTGAAAGCTGAGTCTGTCATCAATAATTACATCTAGGTTAACTTTAATTCTGAATGAGCCTACAAATGCCTTCAAAGCTGCAATCCAATACAAACACAGCTTTCAAGTGGGGATTCTGCTGTACTGGTTTTCAAAGGCAAGGAACCTGTCAGGAAATAAACCTGTAAACAGTCTTCCGCTACAGTTTGCTTTACCTCTCTTTCATATTCTGGTTGGGACAAAGGAAAAGGCAGCCCTGCCATCTGGATGCAAATCCTCACCAACTACGTGCCGCTGCATCCTTACTTTGAGTCTCAGATGTTTACTGAATGAATAAGCAAGGCTTTGAAAGTAAATCTAGACAGACTAAAAACTTGTTATGTCAGGATATTTATATGATTTTGTGAATGAAAACATTTTATATGTGGTTATTAAAAAACGCTGGGACTTGCTTATGGCTTGAATCAATCTATTTTTTTTTTTTCCAATCCCAGCAGAACCCACTTTTTTCCACAAAAATAGATCTGTCTGAACCAAATCAGTTCCATCCCAGTGGACTAATGGGCTGTGGTGATGTCTGTTAGATAAATTCAGGTTGGAAACAAGGTTTATTTGTGCAGGAAAATCACTTTTATGGATTTGCTCTATTTGCCTTGACTGCTACTTGTATGGCGGGCTGCAATAAATGATTTAAACACAGACAGTCTGCAGCTGTACAAAAATAAATCAGAAATAGAATTTAATGCAATAGATGCAGCCTGTTGTTTTGGTTACGTGGATGCACACATGAGCTGACTGTGTAGCCTTCAGGGAATAGCTGCTGTATGAATAAGCCAGTGTTTTATTTTAGTCTCCTTCCCGGGGGATGCTGGGGTCAAAAATCCACTCGGATTGGGTGTTATGCATTCCTCTAATGAAGTAATTGGAACTGTGTTAGAAATTGACGTGTTCAGCATGCCCAAGCTGTTATCAGTCCAAAAAAGTCTTGGTGACGCAAGTCTCCAAATACATAAATAGTTTTCAACTAAATATCTGCTGCCTTTTTTAATGTATTCATATACAACTTTTCATGGATTTAATGAGGGCTAATTCATTTCGTCAATGCATTTTGTTTGCTTGGAGTACTGTGGTAGAATAGGGTGCTGGGGTAATTTTAAGGCCATCTGAGCAGTGAATCTCCAGAGCAGATCTGTGTTATCATTATTTTTATAAAGTTAAGCTTGGTTTTTAATACACGCTGGTTAACTAATCCCTCAGTTAATGGACCTAAAGGATTTATCTCACAGTCTAGTTGTGGGAAAAAGGCTACTTGCTTCATGCACATAATTTTCTACTGCTTGAATCTTAAGGTCATGTTCTTCAGAAACTCTGGACCAACAACCAATGTAAAGAGATAGAGATGAGAATCAGCTCCTCTAAATTTGCTGCTTCAGTCTGTTATGGTGAATTTGCTGGTGAAATTTACCTAAATATTCTTGCAAAATATGGGTAATGACCAAGAGAATAATATCTCTGATACAAAGGACTGCAATAAGCTTTCTCGTCTTCACAGTCATCTGCAGGGTATTTCAGCATAGGTGCTGCTCAACATTGAACAGAGTCAGTTGTTGTTGGTTTGGGGATTTGGGATTCAGGCTTACTAACACTCAACAGCACCTTTCAAACAGCACAAATGATGTTTTGCACAAGCATTGCTTACAAGGAGAGAAATCTGAGGCTCAGTTTTAGGCCCTGTTCTATTTTCAATTTTATAAATTTTTTTACATATTGGAAAGAAAAAGTTCTGGGCTAAAAGCCATCTTTACACAGATGATGCAAAACTTTATCTATTTGGCTCTTCTTTAGTACAGGCTTTAGTTTAAACAGCCTCTCAGCTGCCAAAATATAACTGTATGCCTTAAAGTTAATTCTTAATGAGCTGATTTACTCATCTGTGCTGTTCAAGCTTCTTTAGACACCACCATTCATGTAGCAGCTAAAACAGCTAATTTTTCAGAATATATTTACTTAAAGTGTTTTGAATTTTTTTTATAAGGTCTCCCAAGGCTCAATTTTACACCTTATTTTATTTTGCAGTAATAATTCAAGGATATCTTTAGCTAACATGCTGTTTTATGCAGATGATACCTTATGTTGCTCTATGAGCTTTAACGTAGGTTACTGTCATGCCTTAACCATAAAATGATAACCATGTGTGATACTGGATGTGTCAGTGAATTGTTAAAAGTTTGACCTTAATGGGAATTAAGTTTCTGAATGTCATTTTCCAGATATTGTTTCAGAGGAATTCCCTCTTTGTTTTAAAAACGTTCCTGGATTGTAACAGTCTTAAAAATGGATTATGGTAATGTAACATTACTTACATGAATTTTATTTCATTTGCAATATTGTTATGTAAATTCTGTCCACTACTGTGATTAATGTTTTAGTTTAACAAAAAAGCTGCTGCTACACAGAGCAATCTACTTTATTATCTAGTTTCAATGTCAAATCTAAGGAGACATTATAACTAGTATGTTTAATGTACGAAAAAAGCAGCCCTCAGGTTGCCATCTCTCCAGAGTAGGCTATCCAGACTTTTTACTAATCCTAACTACTATATCTGATTTTGCCGCCTGGATAATTAAAGTTGATTTAAACAGGGTGTTTTAAAGCAGCATTTTATGTTAAGTGTTGATGAGTTATTCCATCTTTCTGTCATTCAAAGTGAGCAGAGGCCCTCAAAACCTGCAGGAAAATGGGTACAGCAGAAGTCACTTTACGCATGGACAGCATGGACGTCAAGGACGAGTGGCAGGATGAAGACTTCCCCAGGTATCTGTTAGTATTAGAGGAAGGTTCAGAGTTTGTTTTCTCAGTGCGCCAGATTTGTATGCCGCTTGAGGAAAACAGGTTGGGTCCAGATGGAAAATTAGTCATGTGTGAGATACTGAAGGGGAACAGGTGTGTTCTTTCCACTATGCCGTCGCATGCGGGGACTGTATCATATTAGGATATAAAATAGCAGCTGGCAGAGAGTAAAAAAGAGTTCGATAGTGACCTGCAATGGAAAATTTGTGCTATATTATATTATATTATATCATATCAATTGTTTGAGAATTAACTATCTCATATAAAGAAAATGCCTATAAGTTTGAAGAAATATTGTTTTGTTTATTGACCAGCAAGCAAAAAACAGTGTAAAAAATCTGTATACTTCACAATGCACAACTCTTTAGTCCTCCCCATGGCCGTGCTTCAAGTTAAACTTCTGTCTCTTCTCTTAGTACCATTCATCATTCATTCCACTTGGATCAGTTTTCCAATCCATTTTTGCCAAAAAATATCCCCACAGCATGATGATGCCACTGCTATGCTTCAATGTTTTGATATCATTCTTGTTTTTGGTTTAGACCCCCCAACTTGTCTTCATTGGTTGCTGAAAAGTAAAATTTTTGTCTCCACTCATCAAATATGCCTTTTTTGCAACTAAAAATATGCCTTCTCATTTCTAACTTCATCTAATGGCTTTTTTCGGGTGTTCGTTCATTAAAGCGCAACAGTTGAGTTGAATGCAGGAGTTGGCATTATAATTAATGCCTTAAAAAGCCTCCTTATGGTTGGGAACACATTGTAAATCACTTTTTGCAGATACAGCTTCAGTAGTTTTGGATGATATCTTTTCATACTTTGAGGTATTTAAACCAAAAAAAGTATTTTTTTTCTGTCATCTGATCAAACCAACTTCTTCTTAATTTTTACTGTCCCCATATGGCAAACCTCAAACTTCTTTTGACTTCCTTGTATTAGTATTCAATAACAAACCCTTGTCTATGGTTATGGAATACATCTTTGCTTATAAAGTTAAAAAGCTATGAATTAATTTTCGAGGCAATGAAACAACCTCAAAGGTACAAAACTCTCACCTCTACAACTACTTGTCTATACTTGTTGTGCTTTGGGTGTGATTGTGTGGGAATAAACTCTTTCAAGCTCGATTTGTGGGAGTAATGAGGGTTGGATTACAGTAGCAACAGATAGTATATCTGCAATGTACCAACATGCAGAATGAGAAAATGACATCAACACAGGTGTTCACAGCATAATTACCACAGGGAGGTTTGTAATCTCTAGTGTTTCTTTCTTAGACAATAAATATTCTAATTCTGTGTCACTAAGTCATAGAAAGGTATTGGTAAAAAGTTACAAATTAAAGTATTTCTATTTTTTTAAGTAAATAAAAATTATGTTTAGGTGGAAGCAGGGCATATATATAGATGTATGAATTTATCATTTTACATATGCTCTGTGTGCAGGCCACTGCCAGAGGATGGAGATGTCAACTCATGTGGCTTAACTGACACCAGAAGCAGTAAGTAAAGTCAGTAACACATTTTGATTGTATATCTTAAAATGTTAACTTTTAACTGCCTACTCTCACAGATCCTCCCACCAGTCTGAATGTGGGAGAGTCAATCAACCATAGAATGCGTCGCACACTGGTAGCCCCCGAGATGAACCTGTCCCTGGATCAGAGTGAGGGCTCTGTTCTCTCTGACGACTTCCTGGAAACGCCTGATGACCTGGACATCAATGTTGATGACATTGAGACTCCAGATGAGACCGACTCACTTGAGTTCCTGAACAACGGCAATGAGCTTGAGTGGGAAGGTCAGAACAAAGGAATATTTAGATCAGGACTATTCAACAGGTTCCTTTTTCATACAGCCCCTCCTAAATTATTGGGGGTAGTGCTTTGTATGGTCAAAATAATATTAATCCAAAGTTACAAGGAATGAAAGAAAAGCTACATTGTTAAAATGTCATGTATTAAAGGGTTTTATTCTTTAATAATACCGATGCCCATTTAAGCAAATTGTTTGTAGACATTTTACAAACTGTATAAATATAGATAACTACTTAACAGTCTGCAGCTGCTTGACTCGCCCTGTTTTGTTAATTTTTTCTTCTTTAGATGACACTCCTGTGGCCACAGCCAAACGTCTTCCAGGTGAAGGTGAAGATGAGAGAGACTCCTCTGGTCGTCTGTGGCGAACAGTGATAATCGGCGATCAGGAGCAAAGGATTGACATGCAGACCATTAGACCGTACCTGCGAGTGGTCACCCATGGAGGTAATCTACTGGTTTTTAAATTTGATTTAATAAAGAACAGACAGGTGACTCAGAAGAAACATCGAATAGAGTTTGACCCTAAATCATCAAATCAAAGCACCAAACATATGAGGTTGCAATAAAACCCAAACTACAGAGAAAATCAATGTCTACATTATGTCTTTCTTTCTTTTCAGGTTATTATGGTGAGGGTCTGAATGCCATCATTGTGTTTGCGGCCTGCTACCTTCCTGACAGCAGCTGTGATGACTACACATACATCATGGAGAATCTCTTCCTGTAAGTTCCTACGATTCCTTACGGCAACATACTACATCCTCTGACCCATCTTGCATCTCAATTACTTCTATTTTATTTCTTTAGGTGGATGAAAGTAAAGTAAAAACATCAAGTTCATGCTGTGAAATTGGCTCAGAGACTAAGCAAAAAAAGGAAGAAAAAACAAGAAAAGTTGATTTAAACTTAAAGTCTTATCTGCTCTCTTGTCAGGTATGTTGTTAGCAGCCTGGAACTGCTGGTGGCTGAAGATTATATGATTGTTTATCTGAATGGAGCAACTCCTCGCAGGAAGATGCCGGGAATAAGTTGGCTAAAGAGATGCTACCAGATGATTGACAGAAAGTAAGAAAAATACCTTCATCATAGAAATTAAACTGGAGATACAGCCAAAGTAAAATAAATTATGATTTGTTAATAAACAAAAAGAAAAGTAATAGTAGCAAATGGGAGCTCATTTATCTTTTGTCTTTTTCTTTGCAGACTGAGGAAAAACCTCAAGTCTCTGATCATTGCACATCCAACATGGTTTATCAGAACTGTCCTTGCGATCTCAAGACCTTTTATAAGGTTGGATATATCTACTGTCAGTCATTCTACTTTTAGCGGATATTCACCTCTAATCTAACAAGAATACTGAATAATATGTCTAAAAAAAACATATCTTGGGTAAAACTGTTTAAAGTTAACATATCTATATGTTGTATTATATATCTATATAAGATTATTTCTATGATTAATTTGACTTGTTGATGGTTTCCACAGTGTGAAGTTCATGGATAAGATTCGATATGTTCACACGCTGGAGGAGCTTAGTCACATCATCCCTATGGAGCATGTACAGATTCCTGAATGTGTTCTGCAGTAAGTCTTCTCTACCACCAAGGGTCACTGTTGAGATGCCACACAGGTCTTTGATAATCGCAACGGCCATACACAGGCAGGAGAACATGAATGAATAAAGCAACTTTAATTTTTGTTTAAACATCACAACCCTTGCATTTTTATAAAAAACAGACAAGTCCTACAACACATGACAAACATTCAGAGAATATGTAACTGATGATTTTACAGAAAGAAACAGCCTTAAGTCAAATTGCTTCTTTTTTCTTCCCTTCTATAATTCAATTCAGATTTATATAGCGCCAAATCACAACAAATGTCATCTCAAGGCACTTTACAGTTCACCAGATCATACAGTCAAATTGATTCAAAGTTTTCTATCTAAGGATTGCATCAACTTATTGACTCAAAGGCAATCCCTCACCAGGCGCGCTGGAAGCTGTTTCAAGTGAGGGGGGCTGATGGCTGGGTTGGAAAACACATGACGTCATTATGTTGAGGGCTGGCGCTGACGTTTTTAACATAATATTGTAGGCCTACATTTGTCGCCAAAAACTGCCATTTAAAATGCATCGGAACAAAGCATGAACATTTTAAACTTTATTTCTTCTCTTTTAATCATTCAAAACAAACAACAGCTCCCAATCAACAGGATCAGGAATACTTGAATAAAACATGGCCTAAATATAGCCTAAACTGAGCATTGAACGTCTTGAAAGTCCATTCGACTATGGATATGGGGAATGATTTCATATCTGAACAAAAAACACACACAAAAAAAACAACTAATTTCATATTTTATCACTAAATAGCTTAATACAGACATAAAATTTAGTGATATGCAGCCTTATTCTAGCGTAGACTTCTTCAGCCACAGGACTAAGATGAATAGGCACATAAATAACGCTAAATGCAGCAGCATAGGGGAATTAAAACCATTTCTTACTTTGAAATAGTCAGAAATACGTTTCTGCTGCCTATTGCTAGCCATGCCTAAACGAATGTGAGGTGGCGGAAGCTTCCGGGGGAGTAGCCTAGTTTTTTATGAAATATTAAAATAATGAATCATTTCTTTATATCTTATACACAGCCCATCATTTTAATCCCATATCAAACAGTCTTTAAAAAAATAAATACATAAATAATTTCATGTTTTTAAGTACAATATTATGTTACTCCACAGCCCCCCATGGTGGGGGGCTGATGCTATGACGAGGGAGGCTGCAGCCCCTGCAGCACCCCCCTTCCCGTGCCACTGTCCCTCACACTAAGCATCCCCGTAGCGACAATGGAGAGGAAAAACTCCCCTTTAACAGGATAAATCCTCCAGCAGAACCAGGCTCAGTGGGAGCAGACATCTACCGAGGCCGACTGGGGTTCAAGGAGACAGAAGGAGTCATACAGAAAGAGGCAGAGATACAAAAGGCAACTGTAAAAGGCGGCCCCGTTCAGCAAACACGCAGCCAGGCAGACCAGCTCTGAGCCAGCTCCCATGTCAGAGGATGAAGAGAGCACATCCAGTTAGTTGCAGTCAGAGAAACAGGACCACACTGGAAAACAGGCAGATCTCTAACATCTACAGTATAAACAAAGGTGTTGGTGGCAGCACCACAGCTGATATTTCTCTCCAGGGTGGTGTCACAGCCAAACAGGAACAGACCAGATGAAGCTATTATGAGAAAAAGCAGAGAGAGCATAATGTTATAGACTGAACTAACAGATTCTGCAGAGTGGGAAAATAGAGATGGAATGAAGCAGAATGATGAAAAAGGGGTCTCTATGTCCTCCAAAAGTCTAAAGGCTGATTTATACTCAGAAACCAAGTCCTCTGCGTATGTGCTGCAGTGAACAAAAATGTGCCCCCGCCACTGCCGCAGACACTCTGGTGCACCTCTCCAAAATTGTAGGTGACTGCAGACAGGAGGCCTCTGATTGGTCAAATCTACATCCGCTCTACACTATGTGTGTTTCCTGTTTGGTATCTTACCGGCTTGTTTTGTTTGTATATATATATATATATATCAGACATGGGCAATGTGGAGTCAACGAGTCATCTCCATGTCATGTATTGGTTCTACCCAGCCAATTAACCAGGTGAGTCCAATCTGCACAGGTTAATTCACGGTCAAGTTTGGACTCACCTGCTTCAGTGGCTGGGTAGAACCAATACATGACATGGAGATGACTTGTTGACTCCACATTGCCCATGTTTGATATATATATATATATATATATATATATATATATATATATATATATATATATATATATACACTATATTGCCAAAAGTATTTGCTCACCCATCCAAATTATTGGAATCAGGTGTTCCAATCACTTCCATGGCCACAGGTGTATAAATTCAAGCACCTAGGCATGCAGACTGTTTTTACAAACATTTGTGAAAGAATGGGTCGCTCTCAGGAGCTCAGTGAATTCCAGCGTGGAACTGTGATAGGATGCCACCTGTGCAACAAATCCAGTCGTGAAATTTCCTCGCTCCTAAATATTCCACAGTCAACTGTCAGCTGTATTATAAGAAAATGGAAGTGTTTGGGAACGACAGCAACTCAGCCACGAAGTGGTAGGCCACGTAAACTGACGGAGCGGGGTCAGCGGATGCTGACGCGCATAGTGCGAAGAGGTCGCCAACTTTCTGCAGAGTCAATCACTACAGACCTCCAAACTTCATGTGGCCTTCAGATTAGCTCAAGAACAGTGCGCAGAGAGCTTCATGGAATGGGTTTCCATGGTCGAGCAGCTGCATCCAAGCCATACATCACCAAGTGCAATGCAAAGCGTCGGATGCGGTGGTGTAAAGCACGCCGCCACTGGACTCTAGAGCAGTGGAGACGCGTTCTCTGGAGTGACGAATCGCGCTTCTCCATCTGGCAATCTGATGGACGGGTCTGGGTTTGGCGGTTGCCAGGAGAACGGTACTTGTCTGACTGCATTGTGCCAAGTGTAAAGTTTGGTGGAGGGGGGATTATGGTGTGGGGTTGTTTTTCAGGAGCTGGGCTTGGCCCCTTAGTTCCAGTGAAAGGAACTCTGAATGCTTCAGCATACCAAGACATTTTGGACAATTCCATGCTCCCAACTTTGTGGGAACAGTTTGGAGCTGGCCCCTTCCTCTTCCAACATGACTGTGCACCAGTGCACAAAGCAAGGTCCATAAAGACATGGATGACAGAGTCTGGTGTGGATGAACTTGACTGGCCTGCACAGAGTCCTGACCTCAACCCGATAGAACACCTTTGGGATGAATTAGAGCGGAGACTGAGAGCCAGGCCTTCTCGTCCAACATCAGTGTGCGACCTCACAAATGCGCTTCTGGAAGAATGGTCAAAAATTCCCATAAACACACTCCTAAACCTTGTGGACAGCCTTCCCAGAAGAGTTGAAGCTGTTCTAGCTGCAAAGGGTGGACCGACGTCATATTGAACCCTATGGATTAGGAACGGGATGTCACTTAAGCTCATATGTGAGTCAAGGCAGGTGAGCAAATACTTTTGGCAATATAGTGTATATATATATATATGTTTTTTTTTAAGTGGTAACACACTTGTTTGGCATCTACTTTCTCAAGAATTTTAGATAAGAAAGGAAGACTGGATATAGGTCTATAATTGACTAAGTTACCTTAGTCAAGCCACAGTTTCTTAAGTAAAGGTTTAATTACAGTTACCTTAAAGGCCTTCGGTACATATCCCTGTACCAGGGAGAAATTAATCACATCTGAAATGGAGGACGAGATCAAAGGGAATACTTCCTTAAATAACCCGGTAGGAACTGCATCTAATATAAAAGCTGAAGGCTTAGATGAAGGCAATAGTATCAACAAGGGGGGTGAGGTTGGTTGAGGACCAAATGCAGAGAGGAATTAAGCAGAGATGTGTTCTTGTTGATTTAATAAATAACCGAGGTAGACATCTAAAAATACAAAGAACCAAAAAACCCTGAAAACATCAGAAAAAACTCACATGGGGAGCCAGAGAGGAGGAAGCAACTACCGGTAACAAACACAAGGAACCAGCACTGAGTGACTGCAGAGGTGGTGTATGTAAGGTGAACAGAACAAAGGATGAGCTAATGAGCTAAATATGGAGCAGGTGTTGCACCATCATTTGTGGGTTGAGAAATGGATGTTTAAATTTAAGCTCCTGTTTCACTGGTTCATTTCAATAGGTAATATAATTGAGATAGAAGCTGAACAATTGACAAAGGGAGATATGAAGACAAATATAACCGAGTTTGATGTTGAAAACATATTTCATGCAGATAAACCGCACATTCCATTACTGCTACCCTATCCACGGCTTATACGGACAAACTCTGAAACTTTAAAACTGAGAGAACTACTAAAAGCAGCCAAAACAATCTGTAGATATTATATATCTTTCTAAGGTAAACTTTTTTATGTTGTCAAAAAAATAATAACAATTTTGTCTTCCATGTCGTTCTTTTAATTGCTAAAGGTATGATGATGAGAAGATAAAAGCACAAAAATTGAGGTAAGCAACAGATTTTTGCAGGATTTTATTTAAAAAAATATTTCTTTTTTCATCATGATTAAAAGTAATCATATTGGTATTTTTTTTATTTGCTACAGACAGGAACAAGAGCAACACCAGCAGAACAAGTCAAATCCTCCCAAAGAAAGGTGACCTATTTTTGCAGAACATACAGTGTGCTTCCTGCAGCTATGTTATGCAAGACCCTCAGATCTCTTTCTTTAGATCTATTTCAGTCATGCCATTAATCAGTTATGGAACTCCTGTTAATTTTTTGTGAATATTTGTCAGCTATTCATTAGTAAAACATAGCTAATAAATACTAATGGCTAATTATTTCTTTGTTTGAATGTTGTTTTCAGGCCAAAGTCAGTGTTAGCAGATGTTAGCCGTGACATCTGACATTAAGGTAACGGGTCCCAGTCTTTCAACTGTAAATCATTAAGACTTCACCCAGGCTTGTAATGTCAGCTCTCTGTAACTTATATCTGACACTCACAGGAAGATTTCTCTTTTCACATACATTTGCTTATGTGTGCAGAAGACACGCGATACAGCAAATTAAATCCTTGGGGAAGGTCCATTGGGAGTCTTGGATGCCAACATTCCTGAAGATCGATTCATGTCTTATACTATAAAGATCCTCAGCTAACAGCTCTATTTTCATTGAATGTACAAAATAATATAAGGACCTTGCAAAAGTATTCATTGACCTTGGGCCTTTTGTTTTTTTGAGTTCTCAGCAATAAATGAAGTTGCACATGTTTCATTTATAAGAGATCTTATGATGTCTTTTGTGAAGAAGGCAAAAAGAACATGACTTTTGTATTTCTGTAGAAACAAATCCACTAAAAGTGTCCTATACATATCACTTCAGTCGCTTTGTCCCCGGAACCCCAAAATAAAATCCAGCGTAACCATTTGGCTTCAAAAGCCACCAAGCCAATTAGCAACTAAGAGTAATTTAACATTGGTGTCAGTCAAACCTTTTATTAAGCCCTAGGTGGTTTCTCAGAGAACATTAAGGAAGAACCAGCATGATGAAGACCAAGGAACACAGTAAACATATCAGGGACAAAGATGTTGAGGACTTTAAAAGCAAGTTTAGATAATGAATAAAACAAAAAGTCTTTAATTTCTGATGATGAATGACAAGACTACTCTCTCACCAAGACAAGGCTATGCATGTTGAAAAAAAGCAACGGGAAATCAGGTTCGGATTTCTGCCCAAGTCATGTAGGCAACACAAGAGAAACGTTAATGCAAAACAGGTTCTGTGGAAAAAATAACACATTTCTTCAGCAATATTGGAGAAGCTACTCAGAGCTAATAAAAATAGCTAGAGCTAAATGCAGTACAAACCTGTTAGACCACAGAGTAAATACCCTATATATATATATATATATATATATATATATATATATATATATATATATATATATATATATATATATATATATATATGTGTGTGTGTATATATATATATATATATATATATATATATATGTGTGTGTATATATATATGTGTGTGTATATATATATATATATATATATATATATATACATATATATATATATATATATATATATATGTGTGTGTATATATATATATATATGTGTGTGTATATATATATATATATATATATATATATATGTGTGTATATATATCTATATATATATATGTGTATATATATATATCTATATATATATATGTGTATATATATATATATATATATATATATATATATATATATATATATATATATATATATATATATATATATATATATATATATATATATATATATGTGTGTGTGTATAATGATCCAGTCATATGTATAATGATCCAGTCATAGTAAAGAGGGGGGATTTTAGCAACTATTTATCTGTTACTTTTGTTCTATTACTTTTTTTTATCTATTTCACTTCTGTTTTTGAGTTGATTGTCAACATTAGAATCGGAGGCATTACTTGCTGGAGTTTGTTTTGTAGGTAGACAATACTTAACAGAGTGTTAATACTTCTGCAAATTCTCCAGATTAGTCTTTGGTTACAATCAAGTATGTTTTCACATAGAAAGGTCAGCCATTACAGTAACTTAAATTATGATTAGAGGAACAACTGTCTTTGTTAAAATATAAGCCTATTGCTGCTCTCTCATTACTGTGGAACATTGAGCCTGGCTCATTTTTTGCCAAGTCATGTTTCAGGTCTTGAAATTCATGCTGCGTGTGAATCCAGATCCAAATGTTAGCTAATCCTCAGACAGGCACCCCAATGTTACATAAAACACAGCTGCTCCCCTCATCTAAACCAACCTGCGCAGTACCATACGGCTCTATTTTTACCAAGCCTCATAGACGAGTCATGAGCCACAGCATCGGTCATGAAATTAGTAGAAATACCCACCCGGGCCAGTCAGGGTGGGTTAGAGGGGCTAAAGTACATGTGGTTATTTCAGAGGTCCAACCCCGTGAGCTGTCCTGTGGGGCCAAGCACTCCTCCCCCCCTCGTATATCAAAAGATCCTGAAACCAGTGGAGTGGCGGACATCCCAGGAATGGAAACAGGCACTGTCTCTGAACCAGTGTGAAATGTGTCAGGTTGAATTTAACTTAGATTTATGGGCCATGGACTGCACATATCAGTGAATCCAAACATTCTCTAGGTTGAGAATGCACACTGTTGCAGAAAGGTCGCACAAATAAGAAAGTCATCCTCTCTGTGTTTGCATTTCAGCTTTTTGGCTTGAACATCTGCAGGGGTAATGTTCTCTGAGGAAACTGGAAAGCATCACTAGATTCTTCCATAGAACTAAACCACCATGAAAGAACCAGTTAGCTGCAGGACAATCACATCTTAGTATTTTTCTTGTTTGTTCTACTGGTTAAGAATCTGTTAACAACAGACAAATAAAGCTGTCTACTTCATGCATGAAAGATGGAGCTTCCCTATGAAGCAATGTGATTATTTCTAATCAAAAAGTTTCAGACTCCTTAAACCAGCTCTTGTTGTAGACTCAGCCAAACCAAAATATTTATAAGGTAAGGAGTTGGTACATAAATGTACGGAAGAGGATTTTTATTTTATTTTTATTTTATTTTATTTTAATATGGGAAAAAATGTCAGAATTCTGACCTCAAGTCAGTATTCTGACAAAAAAAAGCCAGAATTCTGAGATTAAAGTAAGAATTTCTTGAAAAAGGTCATATTCTGAACTCAAAGTCAGTATTTTGAGATCAAAGTCGGAATTCTGTCTTTTTTCCCCATATTAAAATGACATAAAACACAAAAATCAGTTAACTTCTTTTATTTTTTCCTCTTCCGTATAAATGGCATGAGATTTTTTTTGTTTAATGAATATGTTTACTGAAAACTGATGTGCAATGATGTTCCTCTTTTTAAAGATGTTCTAGATGTTACTGATGCAAACGTATTGTACAGTTGTCAGGTTATCCAGGGTTAAATATGCAGTTGGCATGCTTGTTCTTTTCCCTCTCCTTCTTTGGTACATGTATTTCTCTGGTTAAATTCTAAAGACTATAATGATTTTTGAAGATTAAAAGTTTGGATTGTTGAAGATAAAATAAAATATATTTAAAGAGAGCTTGTTTGAATAATTGTTTGAAGTGTTATATATGAAAATGGCCATTAAAGGGTTCTAAAAAGAAAAAAAAAAGTAAAAATGCACACTGGGACGACCTGCGTCATGAATGTTAACCTTCATAACTCAGCTGGAACTTATTCAACAAAATACATTATAGTTTATATTTTTATCTTTTTATTGCCACTCATTCAGGCTCTGGCAGGTGAGGTGTTGAGCAATGTTCTTATGATCTATCAGTTGTTTTGTATCAGCTGGTTGTTATGTGCGGATCTTCAAAAGGTACCATCAAGTACCATATACACATATATGCTTTATTAAAAAAGAAAAACATAATATGGGTGCAAAAGTTAGATTTATTATATTATTAATATATTCTCCCTAATCCAACCAAGTTCACAATTTTAGATACAACTCTGATAATATTTAATTGTCCCTTATTGGGTTGTAAAGAGAACACATTTTTTTGTTGCGGTAATCAATGACCAATCGTTTTACCAGAACTGCTTTTCAGTTTGTTTGTTCTTCTTTCCTGGTATGGATCCAGACCCTGAGCATAGATTGTAAGTATTGCGGAACTCACATCAGGTGTATTCCAATAAACAACAACCCAAATTCAAATGAGATGCTACCATGAAGAGAATTCACATATTCAGTCAGAAGTATGTCTTTATGATGCATAGAAAGGGTATGTGGTTTCTCTAACCCTGTTTACAATATGAACCTTGTACGTATCAGAGAAAATCTTCAATGAATTCAAACTTTCACCTTGGTTACCAGCCTACCTGGAAAAGTTCATATACATCAACAAAAGCATCTCAGAATTACCTGACATTCATCAGCATTATGAGTAGGTAACATCTCTGATTGTTACTGTATATTGATTAAGAATTTGGGTTTTTAATGCCAGTATTTTGTCAATAAAACCTAAAATATTGCTGTCTTATTTATTCATTTATTTATTTTTTATTTTTTTGCTACTTTACCATGTCAATTCAACTGAAGAGTTTAACAAGGAATAAAAGGTATTTCTTTTAATTATTTATTGTTTAGTAATGCAGATTATGTGTTACTCTTTTCAAGCACCCTTTTTGTTAGTGTTAAATTTATTAACTTAAAACCCATTTTGGGGCTTAAATTCTGATTCCCTTTGCTTGAGCAAGATTAGTCTACATTGGTAAAGTTTAATGTTCAAATAACCCAAATGAGTTCCTTTAACACTACAGTTTTCAGTATTTAGAAGAAAAAAAAAGTCGCCTCTTATGGTAGCATCACACACATTTAAGTTCTTTGAGTTCTCAGACTTTACTGTAATATATTTTGTTAGCAAACATATATCTTTTAGTCAAACGGTGCCACCAGTCATACATTTTCAAAGTTAGTCTTGGCAATGAAATGTGACACCAGATCAGCTTACCAGGAACTCAAAGTTCACCTCCTTCACACCTTTATCACTCTGGGAGATAAGGACAAATTGTAAAATGTTTTTTTTGGTATTGGGAAAATACAACATGAAAGCAAAATAAATATGAGGGAATGCTGTGCTCATATCCGGAGGTGTGTAAGACCGAAGCCGATAAGCAGCAGTCGCTAACCTTCAGAGAAAGGTTTTATCACAGCTTAAACTGAGACCTGCGACATTTTGCTCACATGGAGGACTGCCACATACTCCGGTTGCATCAGAAATATGCGTGATGCAGAAGCCAGACGCTGCAGACTAAATATAGAGCTCCTGGTTTGCACTCGCCCGGAGCAGTCTGGGGAAAGAAATACTTATGCCACAGAATTGAGAATATAGTGAGTTTTATCTACATATATAAATGCAAAATTGGATGTCCATCTTCCACTACTAATACTTTTATGCGATGAAAACATTTTTTTATTAAATAAAGCTGCCCCTTATATCCGAACATATGTTCTTTCCCAGATTTAACCAGAATCTTTTCTGAGACAACCCTTGTGACTGCACGGTGGTTTAGTTGTATTTTACAATCCAGCCACATGTTAGTTCCTGTACTTTTCCTGCATGTGTTAGGCCTCCTTACCCTGACCCCTAAGAGCAGGTGCAAATTTTAGGATCAGCTTTCAAATAGCTGAACACCATCTGAAATTCTCAGTAGATGATTGGAGCTTCCGGCTCTGATGAGGGAAAATTATTGGCCAGTGAAAAGCAGTTCTGATTGGTCTAGTAGACTATGACATGACACCCACATCCTTTATATGCGCGACAAGGAGATTGTCTATCAATGAAGTAGTAAAGGGGGGGGACATCTGTGGTGGAGGAGAAGGAAAGGGAGGTTTTACAGAAACCTTTGTGAGAGTGTTTGCTTTGGTGGCGTTCCCTGCCTTTACTTACTGAATTCCTGGGTGACCAGTAACACATAAGAGGTCAGAAATGAAGTTCATAATTGGCATCGGAGGGTAAGTCTAAATGAAATTGATATCAAGCTACTTCTAAATGATACTTTTCTAGAAATTGAGATGTAACCCACGTTTGTGTGGCGTTAAATTCAGAGTGACCAACGGTGGGAAGACCACTTTGACAAATAGACTCCTAAAGACATTACCTAACTGTTGTGTGGTGCATCAGGATGACTTTTTTAAGGTAAGAGGAACTCATTCATTCTTTTTCTATTAGAATTGTTTTGAATTATTTTTAAATAAAAATGTGATAACTTTTTATTTAGCTTATTGAGTTTTATTTGAGCTTAAAGACCTTTTCTGTAAAAAAATAAGTCTGACCTCCAGATGTCCTATTCTCGCAGCAGCCTTGTAATCATCTGGCTGATTGTCTCCTGGACAGCCAATGAAAGGGCTGAGCGTCCCCACTAAAAGTCAGACTCTTATTGTAGGACCTCAACACTGACTTTGTTCTTGCTATTGTTCAATAGAGACCTATGCTCATTGTCCAACAACATATTTTTATTTTTTCTCCTTTGCTTTTATGTGCCTTTTTTGGGAAAACAGTGCACCTGAAAACAATCAAGACAAAATAATATATATATTTTACAAGAAATGCGGTATATTTTCTATTAAAAGCTAATTAAAAATTGTTACCAAAACAAAAACAACATGGATAATTTATATATTTTTTTTCTCTATTACGCTGAGCAGATCTCCTACATGCAAAAAAAAAAAAAAAAAAAAGACAAATCTAAACCAAACTATCGACCTACGAAAAAAAAAAAGAAATGCGCGTTCACTTTTGGTGGAGACGAGTCCCTGACTTGTCCTGTCCAGGAGGGATCAGCTCCCATTGGTTACTGGGTTGCAGCAATGTTTTGTTGGTGACTGTTATTTCAGAAACCCGATCAAATACAAGTCGGGGAGGACGGCTTTAGACAGTGGGATGGTAAGAGTGGATTTCACGTAGGAAAACCCTGCAGTAATGTACTTTTTCCTTTCCTGCACATTTCTTCTGTGTGGTAACCAATCAGTTCTAGACTACCACATACATACTGAGAATGCTACATCCTTCACTAACTGAAATTAATTGTTAAGGAATGTTCAATACACATTTGGTGAAGCTTCCCTTTTTGTTTTTTTTTCTCTCCTTTTTCTTTGGCAGTGATCAGCGCTTTGGACATGGAAGCAATGGTTAACACTGTGAAAGGCTGGCAAGAAAATCCTGTCAAGTTTGCACGTTCTCACGGAGTCAGTTTGTCACCTGAAGCTGAGAAATCCGACTCCGAGCAGAAAGGGATCCATATTCTTATCATTGAGGGATTCCTCATCTACAACTATAAGTAGGACACCTTTTCTTTACACTGGCCTCTTGCTCTCTGAAACTTCCCCCTGATCTGAGATTTCGTTTCTCTATGCAGGCCTCTGATTGACGTCTATGACAAATGTTTTTACATTTCCATTCCCTATGAGGAATGTAAACGGAGGAGAAGGTAAGGAGCTCTCGGAGTAGTTTCTGCAAGTTCTAGGAAACATTAGAGCATGCCGTAAAAATTGGACTCAACTTGCTTTTGCAGTACAAGAACTTACACCGTCCCAGACCCCCCTGGTCTGTTCGACGGCCACGTCTGGCCCATGTACCTGAAGCACCGGAAAGAGATGGACAACAACTGCAGCAGAATAGGTTTGCCGAGTCCAAGTCCCAAAGCTGATGCGAGAAAAGTTTTTTATTTTCAGAACCATTTAATCAGATTTGTATTTTTAACAGAATACCTTGATGGAACAACAACAAAGGAGGATATCTACAACGCAGTGTATGAAAGCGTTCAAAACTCCCTGTTGAATAGCTTATAGGTAAATAAAATGTTTATCATTGCACATTACAGCATCTAGCATTTTGATTGTCCATGTGAGTAATTTTGCTCTTCTTCTTTGTCTTTCCAGCAGGACAGGCCAACACCGGGTTGTGTATAGACTTGTAAATATCATTTTGAGGAAATGTGTAACACCAGTTCTGTACTTCTAGTCTGATTTGTAAATAGACACCAGTGTAACTCGTTATGTATGAACAGCAAAATAAGTGTTTTGTATTATCCTGTGTAACTTTTTTTTTCTAACCGATGAGTCACCTCTGAACTACCCAGTGTTTAACACCTGTAACTGACGTGAAAGTAAAACCTGTTACTAGAAACAACTCACAGAAATGAATGTGCCTCCTGTGTCCTGTTTCCTTCATGCCAGACCTCATCATACACCTACACACTGATGGATTTCCCATTAAGAGTCATAAGCTTTAATGCTAAATCTTTTTTGCTTGCAGAGAATGACTTATAAAGTCCTTAGTTTGTCACATACAGTATAAAGCTGTGGTGCTTCTTTAGTTTATGGAATAGGGAAAATAGCAGAAAAAAATAGAAGAAACAGAGACGATTAAGATTAATCTTAACTAGTTTTTTGTTTGACAATAGAAAATATATTAAAGGTGTAGTGGAGGATTTTCATTAATTTTTGAAAAGGAATCCTAATAAACGCATAATTTGCAATTTCTCCAGTTTTTCAGACTCACCAGCGTTAAGTGAAAATGGGTACAAGCACGTAGGACGGCCTTACGTAAACATATCACCAGAATGATTGACAATTAGGAGGACCACTTTTTTGATGATCCACCCAGAAAAAAACAACATCCTCCACTATACCTTTGAAGAAGAAGTTTCCAAATTTAAAATTAGGTCTTCTGCTGGATATTTAACAAGGGCTCCATAAATTAAATTATGAAAGTAATATATTAGTTAGAAAAGAGAAGTTTAGGCAGTGAGAAAATGCTCACAACTTTATTCTTTTATTTACTATAATAAATTCACAAAACAATAAACTGTAAAGGGGGGTTTTCTTGATATCTGAAATACAAAAAGGGTAAAATCTACTGAAAACTTTTACCAGCCTAAACATGCATCAGAGAAGCTTCACACAGATGAAAGCCATCAGAAACACTTCTCCACTGTTGTAGTCAGAATTCACAAATGAAATATTGTTAAGCATGGGGTCGCTTGTGAATCTAATACTTTGCTGCTTTATCCAAAAGTCGCTTTTAATTTGTTTTTATTACCACGGAGAATAAAATGGCCGCTAATGGAGCATCAGTGTTTACCTACAAAATAAAGTCTATATATGTGTGTTGATTAAGATTTTGCCTGCTCCAAAATGGGTACTTCTAAGCACAAGGGAGACTAGTCATCTGGCTGACATGATGAGAAGTATATTTTCTAGGGTTAGAGTGAGGCTTTCAAACCTGATACCACTGTACCAGCTGTTTGGCACGGTGATGGCAGTATGCTGCTTATTTTCTGTTTAGCTCCACTGGTAGCAGTGTAGGTTAAAGTAGATATAATTATGTAGATAGAGGACTACTCCTAAAAATCATTATATTTAACATATAACAAGCATACCCACAGCAGAATAAACAAAAAAAACCTAAATTCTCAATGCTTTCCTGTAAACCAAAAATTAAAATGAAAGAATGAAAACTGATTATGACTGAGTAATAACAATCAAGAAGTGTTTTGTGTGTTAAATGCATATTCAAACTTCTCAAACAGCTTTGTTAAAAGCTATCCTGACTTTGCATTATAGTATACTACATACTGACTTTGTCTGTTAGAGGAATCCAACCAGTTTTACTGAAAACTAATTTTCTATAAATAGCTATATATGTTGGGTTATAATTAAATCAAGTGCTTGTTGGCAGCAACAAAAACTATGAGGTCACAAATAAACCAGCTGAAGGACATTTACCAAACTATTAGTGAGGGTATATGCATATAGTTTCTGCAGATTAAAGAACATCTAAAAATGAATTCAAACTTGTAAACCTGATTCTTGTTTTCACAGTTTAACTTTTTTCAAAACAATTTACACTAAACTAGAATTATTTCCAGCTAAATCTTTTGTATTTAGCCTGCCCCTCCTGTTACATTGTGTATTTCGGCAGAGTATGGAGAGACATCTTAAGTAACATATTTAAAAAACAATGTAAGATATTCCTTCTCTTACAGCAAGGCAAGGTTGAGTCAGCGACTGAACAAACTGTGTATGTCTACTGAAGCCAACGCCCCACGCACCAGGTGTTGGAGTTTACTAGATGTCCCTTCTTCGAGTAATATGAAAGAACTCAACCATTGGCTTTTACAGCTTTTACTGCTTCATTATCTTATTTTTTTTCTTTTGGATCATTTTTGCTGCTCACCTCTATAGGTACATGAAAAGTAAGATGACCCAAAGACACAAAATGGTGGATTTTTACTTTATTGCTTTTCTAAAAACAAAACCAAGTTAACAATAAAGCAAACAAACAAAGCAAAAGTGTAAACATTTAACAATGATTTTTCCTTAAGTTTTACAATTATTAAATCATAAAAAAATTCTCCTGTCTATATCTAATGACATAAATATATTCTTCTGAATAAAGCATGCAAAGACCACAGAATGTGTATCGGTGGGAAGGTCGAAGTCTCATGATACATGTGGGTCTTCACATGCCAGCATAGTAGCTACTCTGCAGGAGTAAATTTAGGCCAAGCGCCTGAGGTATTGAGGGAAATATATATATAACAAATGTACAACCAATTACTGATTACGACACACCCACTCACAGCTTTGAGCTCCTGTGAAGTTATTTCCCCACCCTCACCCCATGTAACATGAGAAAGCATCATGGAAACCTCCAGACGTAGAGCCAGGGAGTCCAAATAAGGACAGAGCAGCAGTGACACAGGAGATAAGAAAACGGGTCACATGTTCAACAAAGCTCTGGTAGGAGTGGGAGTTTCCCATTTAATCATGTGTAGATGACACAGATAATAAAGTAGAGGGATAAAAGAGAGTTTGTAAAATTCAGGCTCAGGTAGATGTTTTTTTTGGCACGTAAAAGAAAGCATTCAATAAGTAATAACTTGAGTACACTCTAAGAATCAACATCTACTGTTTTATATTGTTCTTATTAACTATTGACTTAAATCAAAACTTTATTCATCAAACAAATTAAAGGGGAAAAAAAGAAGAAAACTATGGAGATGTAATAAAGATCAGTTGATCTGGATTTTTGGTGGTGTTCAAGTTTTTACTTTGAGATTTAAGCAACAATTTGATTTTTTTCATTCTGTGTCTTCTAGTAATTAGTTTATTTTTATTTAGATTCATTTGAGTTATTTTCTAGTCATATTTCAGCTCTGTTGTGTTTACTTCTTTCCCTTAGCTCCCTTCTAGTTACTTCTGTCTACACCTGCTCCCAATCAGTTGATTAATCCATTCATTGTTCTGTTTGGCATATATACTCCTACTTTTCAGCTACTAGGTGGATTCCTTTCATTCCCTCCTTAATCTCTGTGTTTCTCTGCTTCCTGTGTCCCCTGGTTAATTACTTCTGGATTTATGTTCCAGCTGCCACCACTCTTATTATTAAAACTGCAAGAAACCACCTCCATCTATGCATTTGGCTCCACTACAAACCTTCTCATGGATGAGAAAAAGAATCCAGCCACAAGTAGTTGCAGAGGAGCAGTATATGGCAGAATTCGTTTTCATCCTCCAAGGTCCAGGTCTATCTGGATTGGATCCTTCAAGGTCAAAGAAAATAAGGAGACCGGAAGAGTTTTGGCTGCGAGTTCAAACAGGTCCAACCTTCCGTGGCTTTCACTATCATGAACTTTTCACTACTGTTCCTTTTTCTTTCTTTTTTCTTTTTTTGTATTGTAAAGTGAACAGAGACTACACTCATGAGAATACAGAGTGGAATAAAGGTGACAACCACCAAGAGCATGAAAAAATAAACGCAAATGTAATGATATAAAAGGGGTAGAAAGATATAGGTAAATCTAAACACTGTATGTATAAAAATATATCTGCAAAATCTCTTATATTCAACAACAAAAAATACTTAATAATAATAAGCAATTGTGCAAGATGGCAATTACAAAAAATTATAGTCCCCACACTGCAGCTATATAAGAATCTGTCCATTAAATAACAACCAAACCCGTTTACACAGTAACAGATAAAAACCTTACATCAAACCCGACACATATCTAACTCAATAACCATTTAAAACAACAATTTTCATTGATTTCAGTCGTAACTATTCACATACTTGGATTATATTAATCTGCACAAAAGTACCTTTTTCCTCTGAGCACGGAGAAGCCGGCTTGCTTGAACTCGCAATGAATGCTGGGATATCCAAGGTTACGTAGGGTACACCAGACCAAATCAGGCGAAAAGAAGGATGCATTTGTCAGCCTCATAACGAGAAGTCTTGCAATCCGGACAGACCTCGGCGCAGCGCCATGACGAATTGGCCTACTAATCTGACCTTCAGAGTATGCAGCCTGTAAATCTGAATTCAGCCTATATGCCAAATAGGACAATGAATGGATTAATCAACTGATTGAGAGCAGGTGTAGAAAGAAGTAACCAGAAGGGAGCTAAGGGAAAGAAGAGGGGCACTGGGGGGCAACAGAGAGTAACTAACAAATACAACAGGGCTTAAATATAACTAGAAAATAATTCAAATCACACTAAATGGAAATTAAACTAATTTCTTAAAAACTCAGAGTGGGAGACATAAAAGTGTAACTGAAAACCCAAAGTAAAAACTTAAACACAACCAAAAATCCAGATCAACAGATCATGACAGAAGAGGAGTTAAATGCTGGCTTAGAAATTAAACCAGCCAAAATATACAGACAAGGAAAACGATAAGACTTTTTTTTCTTTAATTTGTATTTCTAGTTACTGTATACTACCTGCAGAATACAATAAAAAAAGAGAACAAGGGTACTCTAAATTGTTCTCTCTATGATTGTATATACTAATAAGTGAAAGAGAAATAATACCTGTTTGATTTATAAATCTGAAAAGAACTGCACACATTTCGGACCCCATATTTCTTATATAACCTTCATTTAACCTTCTAATTAGTAAAACAAGAGTTCATTTATATTAAAATTATTCCGAATATAAATAAAACTTGTTTTTTGAAGGTCTCTAAGGGTCATCAGAAACAATAGGGGAAAAAAACACAAGGAAAACTGTGCCATTGAGGCTTTATGCATTAAAAATATTTAGATAGTAGGGAGAAGCAAGCTAATAAAAAAAATAGAAACTCAAGCATTTTATAATGATGTGCTGAAAGGGCCCAACCAAAGTCTAAAACTTGGTTCACATATAAAACTGTGGATAAGACTTGATATCTGTTTTTTTTTTTTATATGGGTGCCAAGAGGAAAGCTATTGTTGAAAATGATTAATCAAAGTCCTTTCATTGCTGTCAGAAGTTACACAAAGGACATTTCATACAGTGCATGTTGATAGTGCTCTGCCCATGACCTAAACCCTTTAATCACCATTACTCATCAACTGGATCATTACTGGAAGCCAAATTATTCAAACTAACAGTAAAACAAACCAGGAAATATATCACTCTCTCAAATTAATCTATTTGGTGACAGAAAAATAACACTCCAATATGAAACATGGTAGTGGATTCATAGATCAGAGTGGATGGGTCAATGAATGGAGATACAGAACAATCCTGGATGAAAAACCTGTTGAAGGCTTCAAAAGACTTTAGACTGTAGTGAAAGCTCACCTTCCAGCAGGTACAAGACCCTTAATATATATTAATGTGTTGGAACGGCACAGTGAAAGTCTAGGAATAAATATGATCTAAAGAAAATGGACAACCATTATTCATCTTTCTTCTACCACCAGCAGCTAATTTGTGTTGGCTTTTCAATGAAGACCCTTTCACAAAATTTTATAATTATGTTATACTGTTGAAAATAGCCAATAACAAACTGCAACATTTATTTCCCTTTGAAATTAATATTGTATCTTGAATAGAATAGAATATTATGGAATAGAGTAGAATAGAATAGAATAGAATAGAATAGAATAGAATAGAATAGAATAGAATAGAATGTGTAAAGTCCAAAGGGAATTAATAATTTTGTCATACAAAGTAATAAACAGAAATTAAAGCAGCTGTTCTTTTGTTTACAGAATTAAATAAAAAGCATATAGATACACTAACATTAATACTTCTTGTATCTGTACACAGTGTTTTGGTTTATTAGATACAAAACAACACTAGATACCTGATTGACAGCAACAGATAGCTGATAAAGCAAATATACATCAAAAGAGTAAAACAACACAAGCATTGGCTTAATCCAGACTTGATTTAGTTTAAGAATGCATTGTATGAGGCCACTTTCAGCACAAAAAACACAATGTATTAAGAAAAACATTTAATAATAATAATAATGTATACCAATAAATACAGTCTTTAAATAAACATTTTTAATGTAAAAGCTAGAGATGGTGTTGTACTAAATCCTAACAATATCAAAAAGCATTTTATTTCAGATTTATTACTGTTCTTTTATGAGAAAATGAGGGTCAAGACATATCCTCAACATAAGGTTAGGTATTCACATTGGAGATAGTCATTATGAATGTCAGACTGATATATTTTCAATAGATCACACATTAAAGCTTGCAGCACTGATGTGTCACATGTCAATGAATGAAAAACGTGAAGATGGACAGAGCAGCATGTGGCTAAGGGCTGAAACATGAGGAGGGCTGAGTGAGCAGATACTCCCAAACGCTGGTTAGACATAAGGTAGACATGTCACACTACACGACATGTCAAATCATTAATCATTCACTCATGGTGCGCTTTTAATTAAGCATATAGTTGGAATATATTTATTTTATTTACATTCTTGGCTTCAAGATTATCTCAGTTTATTCAAACAGTTTTCCAGCATCTCACCTGCTTTGTTTCCCCATGATCAGTGGTAAACCCTCTGGATTTATCATTTTACTCCTCAGAATGGCAGAGTGAGGCCTCAGGGAAACACAACAGGTATATTCCTTAAACGTGGGGAGTTTCTTGAAGTATAATTATCCTTTTTAAGATCATCGTCTTCTTTATTTCTCACAAGAAGCAAAGTTGTGAGCAGCCTTGGACACCTAGATTGATATATTCAAAGTGTAAAAGCATTAGTCTTTCATTCAGGAAATAATTAGTTGTTGCTGCTCCTGTGTCTTCATAACAACCAGTAACTCTTTTCTTTATTCCAAAGCATCCCTAATTTAAAGTAAAAACTCTTAGTTGTGCAACATTTGTTGTGATTTGTTTACTTTCTGGTCATACACACAATAAAGGCTCAATTCAACGTTGATACTTACTGGCTATGTTTGTGGGTTACATGTCCTGCTCAGGAGGTCTTGTGCCAAACCTGTGCTGAGGCTCAGTGCTTCTTATAAATCAGGGCTGTGCCAGACTGCAGAACGGGGCGTTGCTGGACTTCAGAACAGGAGGAGGGTTTCTTTGTCTAAAAATAGTACAGCTTTCCATGCAGATGCCCTATTTGGTCGAGGCAAAGTCAGTCAGTGCTCAGTTATATTCCATCTGACAGAAAAGGAGCACTAAGCTCTACACAACGCCTATGTAAAACAGTGTGCTTTTTGTAATATTGATGACCCATATTAGTCCTACTTTATGTATAGTCTGTAAGGTCGAGTTCAGGGTTTTGGAAAATTTACTGGTGTATTCATACTGTTCAACCAGTACTTCTATATTTATTGTATTCTTCTGTTTGGACAACTATTTCATTTTTTTTTTTCAGAATTGCATAATGATTTGAGGTGTAAATAAATAATTTGGACAGTTCTTAATCATTATTCCTCCCACACTGTTCAAAATACTAAACAATGTCTTTGTTACCTTGGTTGATAAAGCGCACTTTTTGCTACTAGGGTTTGGTTTTTGTTTTTTAACCTTGGCCACTGGCTACGTTTGCACCATTTGGCAACAGGATAGGGGTAGGTATGTCAACTTTCCTTTTAAAAAGGAACTTTCTGATTTTAAGAAACAAAATAAAGTGTCTAATTTAAAATCGGATTTGAATTAAATGGTTATGAAATCACTGGACACGGAAGACGATTAGGGCCACTGGAAAAAAAAAAAGTTAACTGATTTTAAAATTTTATTTCAGTTTAGTATCAGAAAAAAAGTCAGAATTCTGAGAAAAAAGTCAGAAGTCTGAGATTAAAGTCAGAATTCTGAGAACAAAGTCAGAATTCTGACTTTTTTTCCCATATTAAACTGAAATAAAATTTAAAAATCAGTTAACTTTTTTTTTTCCAGTGGCCCTAATCCTCTCACGTGGGACACACACAATAAAAGGCAAAAAGAAATTCATAATGTCCGTTGGGTGGAAGATAATGCCGAGAAATGTCCCTTGTTTTTCACAGAGTTGGCAACCCGGCAATAGTTCAAAGATTGGATCAAAACAAACTGAAGCATGGCACTAGTAGCATCTCACAGAGGGCCTGTTTAACATCTTCCTCCAGCTTATTTACATCAAATTAACATATAGACAGTGGTTTAAAGTAACAGAGTTAATTTACTTGACTACTGCACCTAAGTAGTATTTTTAATTATCATTACTTTACTTGAGTATTTTTTAGAGGTGTTGCAGAATCTGCAGCACTAGTGGTTCTATGGGTCAATACATCTGAAAAGTACAAGGTTCTTTAATAATACTCTGAAAATTACACAGAAATGTACTGATGTTAGGAAATTCAATTTGTATTTTTTAATACTCAAGTATTTTTAAAAACATGTACTTTTGAATACTTAAGTATTTTCACAAGTGAGTACTTGAATACTTTAACTTGAGTAGATGTTTGATCAAGTAACTTTACCATAGTTGAGTCACATTCGACTATGAGTACTTTCACTCAAGTAGCTACTACTGATGAGTACTTCTACTTCAACCACTGGGGAGGAGTGCCTGAGTTAGCTGTGTTAATACACAAAGGCAGGGCTATAATGATGAAAGCCTGTAAGAGCAACACAGGAGTATACAGTACTAGCATGTGACCTTTGAACCGACATTCAACTGCAATAACCACCGTTCAACCAATTGGAGCAGCACTGAGCCAGTTTTAGACAATTATTCCAAAAAAAACTCACATGAAAATGTTAAATAAAAATGTTGTTAGAATTGCACTTCAAGGGCCCGATTTATACAGTTTAAAAGCAAAATGTGGTTTTGGGGATAAATAAAACTATGGGCTTTAATCTGGACCCAAAGCCCCCCCACCATCCCACTCTTCAGCACATGTTAGAAATTTACCATTAATTCTAAAACCTTCAAAATGGATCACTCTGCCTTTCTGTAGCCACACTGAAGCGATCTACATTAAACAGATTAATAAGATTCACTCTACATTATTAAGGGGTCTATGAAGAAACAGGTCAGTAATCAGTAATCCCATAAAATAGCTCCCAGGCTTGAGCTATTTTATGGGATTACTGATGGCTTGGAGTCCCAGCAAACATCTATTTCAGATTACTGACCACAGCATTATATTAGGTCTTACATAAAATAATTTTTACTTTATTATATTGCATTATATTTTATTATAATATGTGTGTAACTATTACCAAACTTGAAAGAACAAAATAAATGTCTTAAAAGTTTGATTTTGAATAAGAATTTTCTTTCTATAAAATTCACATGGACTATGAAGGATCATAGCCTGGTGTGTATCTCATCTGCTGGATATAAACTGATCTCTGTTAAAGCAGCTCCAAATGGAAATAAGATGGAAAAATAAAGACTATACTGCCGCCTTCTGGGGAACGTTCAATGCTGCGCCAAGCCGTGGATACGTGCGCTTTCCAAAGAAACCTAATGCCCCCCTCCAATTAAAATAATAACTATAATGTAAAAATATCAACATAAGACAGGTTCTGTCCTCGTTTAAGAATGATTTTAGACTGAAATGTTTATGGAATCCATGGAAAAACATAATATTTGCAGTTGTCCACATATAAATAGCAGATTCCAGATCTTTAGGATTGTATGATTGTATGGCTACTGATGTGAAAGGGAATCAAAGATATCTAAATAATAGCTATTCTTTAGATATATTTGATTCCCTTTTGCATCAGTAGTCACACAAACAAAGATATCTAAAGAATAGTTGGTTTTCTCTGTGGAAAATATCCACAACATGTGGATGACTGTTGCTCACACCTGTGCGTAAAGTTTACTGAACAAACGTCCTTGTGTAACTGAACCTAACCACGGCAGGGGATGGGTTAAATCCTCTTCATGGAAGTCTAAGATGACCAAAGTAACTGGGTTCAAATGGAGAATCTTGCAGATCCAAGGTCCGTCCCTCCTCTCATTCCCATCTGTTAAATGGAATGCTGTTTATAGGAGAGCATCTTCGCTTTCCATCCTCTTTTGTTCGCAAATTCTGTAGCCTAACATACTTCTGTAAATATATCATTTAAACAGGTGGATTTTTTTCACCCAGTTTTATTATCATGGCAAAGTTTTTTGTTTTATTATTTTATATTTCCCAAGTTCTTCTTCCTTTCATCTTTGGACAACAACGTCCAGCCGGAGCCTGGAGGCAGCGCATCCAGTGGCAGAATAACGGGCAGGTTTACAGCCTGCTCAGCACCGGATCACAGTACCAGGCTCCGGCTCGGTCTGCCAGCCTGTCCAGAGTTTATTTGAGCAGCAGGAGGGAAGGCGCTGCAGGTAAAGTGCCAAGTGCGCACAGAGGAGTCGCTTCTGGAGCGCAGGTTGTGAGGCATACTGGTGAACGGCGGTTCAATTCCTCCTCATCCGACGGTTTAAGAAACTCAGGAGGCAGGAGAGAAACCGCACATCTAAGTGAATCTCATCCCATAGCAGGAGGCGAGCAGCTTAGTGTGCAACACCAACAATTACGCGCAGCGCCGGAAGGGATGCTTGTCTCTAGGCAACCCATGCAAACTGGGGGTTTTATTCCAGCGCATATTTCAGTTCTGGAAACCAAACCAGAGGCCCCCGCTGCTTTCCCAGTGTCAAGCGTGTATGTAACAAACGAGGCTGATGAGGAGGGCATGGTCAGCGACGATCCCCGGAACCCTTTAAAGACGCACAGGAATTCTGTTTTCTACAACATGTACCCCTCCAGGGGAAGGTCAGTAGGAGCAGGATACGGAACAAGGTATTTCCACAATGGTGAGTACATTTCCCTTTCAATGGAAACGAGTTAAGTCAGATTAAAAATAACTTTAAATGTTGAATAACTGAGGGCGCGTTTATTCTTGAAATTTGAAATCTGGGAGACAGAATCCACATTTAAACAAAGTGGATTTAATTATCAGTGATCTTTCCCCTCCAAATAAGTATGTTTAATTATACAATGTACATTACAAGAAAGGATCATACAAAAAAGAGAATTCAGCTCCAACTTAAACAAATTGCTTCTTTTAGATTTTTAACAAAACATTTATTGAACAAAAAACTGTTAAAAAGTTTCTAAGTTAAATAAATTAAGTTATGCAAACTTAATCCGATAACTTGTTACTAATTCAAGGTCTTATTTTTCTTTTTTAATAAAGGGATTTATTTAAACAGAATTTTATATAAAATTTATGACAGTCTGAGCAATATATTTCAAGCTTGGTAAGAAACTAAAACTGACAGTTCAAGATATAAAACTGACAAGTCAATATATAACAAATATCTTATAACATATATATTAATATAACAAAAGATATAACAAAAATAAATAAACATCATGTAGTTTTAAATACAGAGATATATTAAGGTGGAGAAATGTCATGACAAAAATCATGGAGAAGGCTGCTAAAATGACAATTATCCAACAGTCACTGGCACCCTAATTGATGAAGAGCATCTCTAAATGGCGGAGCCAAAGCAAATCTTTAAAAGTTTTTTCGGAAAGTAGGCAGAAAATGGTTTGCTGTATTAAGATGGAAACAGCTGCAAAAGTTAACAGGCATCTGTTAACTGAGGCGGAACCATTGAGGGGTTGGGTAGAGATTCAAAATGTGTGAAATGCAGCTGGAGATTGAATGTAAATCATACATCATACATAGACATATCAAGGACATTGCTTTGAGTCACTACTTTAAAAGACAAACTAATACCATTTTCAATTTTATTATATTTTGATAAAGAGCTATGTTGCAGAAACAACATTAGTTTTATGGGACAAAAGGTATTTAATTTAGTTTTTCTCAGCAAAATGTTTCAAGCTTTTCTTCTTCCCTCTAAGGCATGACAACACAAACAACATTTTTAACTTGCTACAGCTATCATGTTCTATGGACTTTGAAGGGACTCTAAGTTGTAAAATGCATTAATGTATCAGGATCATCTCATAGCCGGATTACTAGAAGTCTGTGCTTTTATTTTTTCAATTGAGTCTGCATCCCTCAGCTGCTGATTGAATCTCAGTTGACATTGTTGTTATCAGAGGCATTTTACTTATTTACTCATTTAATCCAAGAGTTCCCAAAATGTTCTTGGTGGGCCCCCTTTTGGTTTACATGAAAGTCATGCACTTAGCAATGGAGACCGGACTCAACCAACGCATTTAAACAGTATCTACAGTAACTAGGTTAACCATTGGCTTTTCTTGTGCAATGACTAAAGTCACACATCCATTTGATTCAACATAATTTTAACATTTGACCAACCCCTAATTTTTTCATATGAAAATGCTTTTTCATTTGAAATATGGTAACTGTTTGCTTCCATAGGTGTCTATCTCCAGCAGTCTAATAAAATATACTAGAGTGAATTGGAAGTCAGTTACATACAGTGAAGTTCCCTACAGTATGCCAACTGAAAGGAAAAGTTTGAATCCCATGAACTCTAATTGCAGACATGTTCACAAGTCATTTTTTGCAAGTCCAAGTCAAGTCTCGAGTCTTGAGAGCCTAAGTCCCGGTCAAGTCTCAAGTCTTGAGAAGGCCTGTCACAATTATCAATTAATCGCACAATAAATTCTAATCACTCGATTAATTAAAATAAGTGCAATAATTTGCATGCTTGCTTGTTTCTCCTTGTGTTTTCATCTCCGTCACTGAGACGGTATAGCTTAAAGGTTACTATTATATCTATGGAATGATCATTATCTTGAACTGGCAAATGAAAAATACAATTTAAAAAAGCACACATGCAATTTTTTTTCCAGTTAAATTTTGCATCTTTATTTTTTTCTTTCAAAAACCACAATTTTCTTACAGTATTTACCTGACATTTGTGGTTACAACTTTTTCTAGTTTTAGGAGTAAATGTCTGCTCTTTTATTTTTAAGTGAAAATGAGGGCTGTGGGGAAAAAAAAACAATCACAATCCTGCTTTTTATTAATACATATGAAGTTAGCAACTACAACAGAATAAGAAAAACCCTAAATAAATACCAGGACAATAACAATTCTTTCATAAAAGAAACACTGTGGCAATAACTTTTTGTAACTTAATGCCTTGGAACAGACAGAACTGACTTGGCGGGCAGTATTTTAAATTCAATTCAGTTTATTTATTTAGTGCCAATTCACAACATTATTCACAACATACTTCTCCTCTACGACTGCCATGAAGTTTTTAAAGCTTGGCTTGTTGAGCATGCATGCATGCGCACGGGCATATATGTCACGTAGCGTTGCGTGAGTGACGTCAGTGCTACGTAACAGTTTGACAGCCCCTCTGCCGTTTTTTTTTATTTTATTTTTTTACCTCTGCTGTGTGTGGTAAGGCGAGCGGCGATCATTCAAGTTAGTAAAACAAAAAACACTTAAAAATTAAATTTTGTTCACAAGTCAGAAATCACGAGTCTCAGTCGAGTCTGAAGTCCTTCAAATGCAAGTCTAAGTCGAGTCTAAAGTCATTAAATATGCGACTTACTGTAAGTGCGACTCGAGTACGAGTCACAAACTCGAGTCCCCATCTCTGGCTTCTAGCAATTGACTTTGCAGCAATTCCTCATCCTGATAATGCAAGTGGTGACCGTAGAGCAGTGTTTTTCAATCCTGGTCCTCAAGGCACCCTGCCCTGCATGTTTTAGATATCTCCCAGCTTTCACACACCTGTTATTAATTGATAGCAGATTATCAGGCTTTGCTGAACTGCAATCATCTGAATCAGGTGTGCTGAAGCTCAGAAACATCCAAAACATGCAGAGCAGGGTGCCTTGAGGACCAGGATTGAAAAACACTGCCGTAGAGAGAAAAGGTTCCATTCTAACAAAAAGAAACCTATACCAGTATCTGTCTCGGTTTCATTGGGAGTCTGCTATAACAAGTGAAAGTTACAGGACAGAAAACCCAACTACAGGGCACAAAAAGACTGCTTAAGGAGTACTTTCTTTATGAAAGTAAAAGTAAATATTTAATGCTAGTAGTAGCATATTCAATAGTAGCATTTAGGGGGAAACAGCTGAGCAAACTCTCAGCCAGAGGCAAGAAAGGATGGATTAAAAAAAATGTAGCTCCTTAAAATGCTTTATCAGGGAGAAAGACAAGGTTAAACACAAAGAGAGGCAAGTGCATCAATAGTACAGTACGCATCTGTTGCCAATGTTTGGTTGAAAGTACCCAGCATCTCCACCGAGTTTAAAATCAGGGTTTTGACGGCTGACATAACCATGAGGTTCATGTATGCCATTGCAATAGACCTAGACTTAGGCAACTTTTATGGTCATCTTGTATACATACAGTGTATACAAAACAAAATGTAGTTTTTTTATAGCTCCCATGACATTTCCATCTCTAAAAATGCAGCAGTGATCAAATGTAAACATTCTGCAAGAAAACAAAAATTAATCAAAAAAAGACATTGATATGGTCAGTTTGATGCAATACTAGCCATATATATATTAAAAGTGCTCCCAAAAGACAATCCTATGCTTTCTTTGGACACATAAATTGTGAACCAACTTGGTAAGATAATAGCTTTGAGATTTTAAATTTATTCTTTGATTGATTGATTGATTGAAATAGAAAGGCTAAGATCGGGTTAGTCCCCAATTTGGACAACACCCAGATTACTCTTAAAATCCTCTTTCTAGAGCTAAAATTTGAACTAAAATATAATTGATTTAAGCTGAACTAAAACCAGAATGTCTTCTCATATTAAGCACAATGTTTACTTAAACAAACTGTTTCCAGGTTAAATATCCTGAAAGGATTAGGAACAGTTGGATTGTCCCTCTAATTTCATTCCCCAGGCCTGCCAGACCTCGTTCCAGACCCCTATGCCATTCAAGCTGGGACTTACGTCCAACGCATGCAGATGTACGCGCTACGCTGTGCTGCAGAGGAAAATTGTCTGGCAAGGTAAGATGTGTTACAAAAGGTGATTCAAGTCTAGTACGCACACAGTCACACGTAGGCATAGTTCACTCATGCGCACGCTCAATTTTCCTTTATTTTCACCTGTAGAAGACTTACATTTCTGGTCAGAGCTTTATGTTGGTTGGGGATGTTTCTATTTATATAAGTAAAGCTGTCCAACTATTTGATCTTCCTATGGAGCAGTGGTTTTCCAGCATTAAGTCTAGCCAACACATAAATGTTCTGGGTTGATTTTCCCAAAAGCATTGAGCTCACTTGGATGAATCATTTGTGCTTCAATACTTTCAAGGGGACTACACCTGGGAGCTCAGCCAGCAGCCCCTCTTATTCTCCGTTTTCTCCTGTGATTCATCCAAGGTCGGCTTATGCACCCGGTGTTCGAGACATCGACTTCAGGGTGCTGTTGCGATTCCCTCAGAAAGTGAAGAACCAAGGAACCGCAGACTTCCTTCCTCTCAAGCCCAGATATCAGTGGGACTGGCACAGCTGTCATCAGTGAGTTTCCTTGGCAGTTAAAGTAGAAATAAAAGACATCACATCGTTTTGTGTTATGACAGTTAGATTAGTGCTGCTCTGATCTGAAGTGCAGAGCCAGGAAAATATCACTACAATCCCAAAATATATTCTTAACAATAAAATTATATCCCTCCAGACATCCCTCAGGCCTCTCAGGAGAAATAACATCTTATTTATGGTTTAATTTAATCCAGTTTACATCCTCAGGCACTACCACAGCATGGATGCCTTTAGTAACTATGACCTGTTGGACATTGTTACTGGACGTAAAGTGGCGGAGGGACACAAGGCCAGTTTCTGCCTAGAGGACACAGGCTGTGACCCTGGATTCAGGCGGCGCTATGCCTGCACAACTCACACACAGGTAGATCCAAAGTGGCGTAATCAGTGTTCCTGTCTGAAAATGTCAGCCAAGACTTTACAGCTGTTATGAATTTGTTCAAACAGACAAACCTAGGTGGGCCTGACGGCCACTATAAACAGACCTTCAGCTGTTTTCAAGCTGATTTTTTCCCCCTTCAGCAATAGAATAGTCAGTTCAATTTTTAAAGTATATACCTATTCATAAAACATGTTTGTAGATTTCTATCCTATTTTGCACTGCCTTTCGAAACTATTCATACCCTTGTTCACATTTTGTCACATTACAACTAAAAATGCTTACTGTAGATGCCTTTTATTTCCAGAGCCTTTGCACTTTGCTTCTCTCCTATTTTCTGATTGCAGCATTTCTAATTGGCAACATTTTTTTTCTTGGTCTGTGTTTCAGTATAGTTGCTGTTTGCAAGTCTTATTTTTGTGATTGTGATACTTTTTGAATTTGCACGGATGTATGTATTTGTAAAATATGTATTTGCAGTTTTTTTGTACCTCTTGACCACTTTTCATAAACTCTAATAAATTACACAAAGGTTTATTTTTGAAAAAAGGTTTAGGGGTTATGAATATTCTTTCAAAACACTTTTCAGCTCCCTGCTTCACATTTAAGATATTTTACTTCTTACTGATCTGTTTTATGGATTATTTTAAGGTTTTCAAGTAATTAAAACTTGAAGAGAATTGATGAGAATTCATCTGTATAAAACAGAATATTCTTTAAAAATAAATTAGTGTAAATACTGCATCTGTCCAAATCTTTGTAATCCTATAATGCTTATTATTGATTCCTTTTTTTTTTTTTTTACTCTCCTTCTAATAAATGTGTTTAGCTAAACCCTGCAGCACTTACAGGAATTCTGCAGGCAGAGGTTCAAAGTTTTGCACATGGATGATGGGTCTGTCATTTCAGGGCCTGAGCCCAGGTTGCCATGACACTTACGCCGCTAACATCGACTGTCAGTGGATTGATATCACCGACGTACCTCCAGGAAACTACATCCTACAGGTAATACCTGAATTTTGGTTTTGATTAATTTCACCAAGCACCACTGATTCTGATCAATTATGTTATGGCCCAAACACAGGCATTTTTCACGCAGAGAAACAATGTTTTTTTTCTTTGTTTGTTTTCTTTTTAGGTTTCTGTCAATCCTAATTTCCACGTCCTGGAATCAGACTTTACCAACAATATTGTGAGATGTGACATCATTTACACAGGAGTTTATGTTCAGACAAGAGGCTGTCGAATTACAAGGTGATGAGCATAGCAAAGGCTCCACACATCATTACATAGTTTATTGCTCTGTTACATTTAATGAAGTGAAAATTGGACAAAACTAAACCCTAAAATAGCATCTATTATATTTCTATTCATCTAACTGTTCATATCAAGCAAGTTAAAATAACTTGGAGGTTGTTCTTCCTTATTCATTTCACTTCAAGCTTTGCATGAGTACCAAGGGGTATAAAAAAATCCCACAGTATGACCATGTCAACACCTTGAATGAGAGTTGATCCAACATTCCTAGGTTTTAAGCCTCATAATAATGTATCCTAATATATTCCTGTCATTATAGGCAAGTAGCTCTGAGATTTTAGACTTTTGTTTTTTTGTGTTAATTAAACATTCCAAAATATCATACTTTCCCAAACTGTGTACATCCAAATTACGATTTCAGATCTTCACTGAATTCCTCTGACTGAGTTGTTCAAACATTGTTCAAGGTGTTTATTAATCAAATGGCTGCAGGAGCAAGAATTCCTGGACTTTATTCATGACCCCTAAAAAGAGGCAAACAGCCCCAGAAAACTGAAAAGACAACCTCAGCCTTTAGCATAAGTAAATGTTGCATTTTTATTATTTAGATAATAATTACTGTTTACATGTTTAAATCTCAGCATCTTACTTTGACTCTGTGCAGATTGAAGACATTTTTGTTTCAGCAACCAAAATATTTTTTCAAAAACCAGTAAAAGTAACACATTCATAAAACGTTTTACCCATGATGTGTATGTAAATGGATTTTCTATCCATATTATTATGCATGCCAGCTTTTTTATATTTACCATGACTTTCTTTTGTTTGTTTGTTGGTGTTTTAGGGCTTGAATATCGTTAACTGCCCAATAAACTGCTGGATTTCTGCAGTAGAACGTCTCCTCCTGTACTGGATTTCAATACAGACACAAACGAATAAAAGCTGGTTCAACTTCCTTAACAGATTGATATGGAATAAGCATTTATTGGTAATTTGTCTAAAAGTGTCTGATCACTGATTGTGATTTTTTTGTTCATGCATTTTTCTGAAAATCTACCATGATTCATTAAAAACAAATAGCAAATGTGAGCATTGTCTCCTTTAGAAGTGTTGCTTAGTTGCTTTCATTCTTTGTTTTGCTGCCCTTTTCTTAGCTGTGTCCCACTCTTCTTTTGCTCTTCTCTGTGTTATGTGTGCAGTGTTAGTTGTATATTCAATCTGATGTGAATAAAAACTATTGACATTTCTGAAACCAGTTAATTTTGGTCAGGGTTTGTCTTTCAGGCTGGACTTCTGTCAAATAAACTTTGTTTAGTCTGAACCCGACTCTGGCACAAACAATCTTAGAACCCTCCAAGATCTGTCCACAGTTATTTAGTTTGGTTTATTTAAAAAGCTCCGTGTAGTAGGGTACTGAAACATGAAAGTGTTAACTCTGGCTTACGTTGCTCAAACATGGCAGCCTGATGGTGTATTTGGGATGGACCAAAAGTAAGAGTAATGAAGGAACGTCTGGTTTAAACTGAATACCTAAATATTTTAATGGGAATATCAGATTTTTGATAAAATTGCTTTACTGTTTCTCATAAGACTGTTTACACAACAGAAAAGATTCATGACCTTTTGTTTAAACTCACATCTGATTTATTCTCCATTAGTGACGCTCAGAAATGTACACACAATCACTGTTGGTATGCATATCATTAAAGAGGCTTCCTATAATTTTTTTAAAACCTTTGCAAGATTGGAGTGATTGTTTACTGTTAACTAGAAAAGTAGATCCACAAAGCAGCCTTGCAACATCACACCACTATGTAATATATTTTAGGTATAGACACTGGTGTATAGAGCAACACAGGATAAATCATTAATGTGAGAGAAAGTGTTAATTCCTCTTTTAGGATGATTATTCAACAAATATCTGAGGTGCAAAAAAAAATCAGCCCCTTAAGATTAAGTAATATTGACATCTAGTGTTTCAAATTGGAAAAACACTTAGAAACAGATAGGCTGCTACTGAATAGTGTAAATTGGTTAGGACACTTTAGCCAAAGCTGGGATGTTTCAGTGGTCACCATTTAAGTTCAGTTCAATGCAATTTATTTATATAGCACCAATTCACCACACATGTCCTCTCAAGGCACTTTACAATTCAGCCAGATCATACAGTCAAATTGATTCAAAGTTATGTAAGGAAAACCAGTTGATTGCAATGACTCATTGATCCAAAAGCAATCCCTCACAAAAAGGATGCTTGTAGTGACAGCGGAGAGGAAAAACTCCCTTTTAACAGGGAGAAACCTCCAGCAGAACCAGGCTCAGTGGGAGCGGCCATCTGCCGAGGCTGACTGGGGTTCAAGGAGAAGGAAGCAGAGATCCAAAAGGTAACTCAACCAGCTCTACAGGCGACCCTGTCCAGCAAACACACAATCCGGCAGACGAGCTCTGAGCCAGCGCCCATATCAGAGAATGAAGAGAACACATCAAGTCAGTCACAGTCACAGAGACAGGACTACACTGAAAAACAGGCTGAACTCAAAGGGCCGGATCTATCAAAGGTTTGCGTGTATTAAAACGTGAGCTATTTCACTGCGCACGCTAAAAAATGTACAAACTGATCTATCAACAGCGTGCTAAAAGGATTTGGTCTTTAAAACGTGCTAAATAGCGCCTCTTATCCATTTAGTACTTTTTCTGCAATGAATATTCAATATTGGGCGTTTACATGCAAAAGTGCGTCTTGTGGGAGGAGAACATGTAAATATATTAATTTAGCACTCGCAAAGTGATTTATCAAACCTGAAAGCAATTTTGCTAACGGTATCTGACTCTATATTTAACACGTTTCAAAAGAAGGTGCAAATGGTCTGTATGCGTAATTGCGCACACATGGCAGCAGTTATTGTCGCAAGAAGGAGACATGGAAATAAAGCAAGGAGACGCAGAGAACTTTTTTTTCACTCCGTGTGAATATTTGTGGAATGAACGAGGAAACGATCATCAAAACATTTCGTTTATCCAGCATTGTCATTTTGGAGCTGTTGGGGGAACTCCGAATGGATTTGGAGCCAGCCACAAGGAGGACCCACGCAATACCAGATATCACAAAACTCCTTGCAACGTTGCACTTTTTTGCATCTGGGTCATTCAAGCGTACGGTTGCAGCGAGAGCTGGGATCTCCCAATCTCGTTTTTCAAAAGTGCTGTCCGACGTTCTAAATGCCAAGTCGCCCTGACGCCCTACCGGAGAGAACCCCGACCTCCCGCCTTGCGCCTGTGGAGCAACATGCCAATGCTGCAGGGATGCATACGCGCAGTCATCTTATCAACAGTCACTTCTTGTGAGCCATTTGGTATGTGCATTTTTCTACAGGCCGACACAAAACACCTGGGTTTTTTTTTTGTTCTTTTTTTTTTACTGCGGTGAAGTAGAAATTCAGCCACATACCACCTTAGGGAATAAAGGTTGCCAAAGTTTATATATATATATATATATATATATATATATATATATATATATATATATATATATATATATATATATATATATATATATATATATATATATATATATATATATATATATATACATTTCTTTTTTTTTTTGGAGGGGGTGGGAGGGTCACTGTAAGATTAAAATTTCTTAATGCACTAGTTTGCACAAACTACAAACTACTTTGCCGCAAACCACAAAACGCGCAAAACCATCATTTAAATAGGGCGTCTCCAACAGTTTTGCACCTGCCACTAGTTACGCAATCGCGCAAAATTCCAGTTTGCGAGCGCAAATTACTGCACGCAAAATTGGATCTTGATAAATCCGGCCCAAACATCTTTAACCAAGGCGTTGATGGCAGCAGCACATCTGATATTTCTCTCCAGGATGGTGTCACAGCCAAACAGGAACAGACCAGATTAAGCTATTATGAGAAAAATGAGGGGGAAAGTGGACACCCTTTGATTATTAAGGCCTTAAAACAAATTTGCTCTGATTTTTTTTTTTTTTTTTTTTTTTGGGCTTGTCTGTGTAGATAGCAGCCGATTTTAGTTGTTAAAAAATGTACAGGGTAGTAGAGATGTTGGACTCTTGTCCTCACCAGCTTTTGTTCTTCAACTTTAAGATCTACTCCTAGTCCAACACAGTCCTAATACACATTTATCTACTGAGTCCTAATAAAACTTTTTTTTTTTTATTTCATGATAAACACAACTAAACTGGTTCTGAAAATCGTCATTTAGGGCTAAATTAAGCCTCCGGATTTGTCCACACGTCAGCCCTAATGGAAATCTATGAACTTAAGAAGAGTATTTTTGATTCTGATTTATAACCAATTGTAGGTTAAAGTGCATCCATGATAAATTTAAAACATATGCAACAAATTCTTGTTCTTAAAAGTAAATAAAAATGTATAATTATTTTATCCCGGAAAAAGAAATTCTAAATAAATCCTGATCCAAAATTAACATGACAAATTTGCAAGAAGTGTTCTTACGCTTTAAATTCCATTTCTGACCTGAATACACAAGTGCATGTGCTTTAGGACAAGCAGAAATTTTCTAGACTGTTTTACTAACAGGATATTGTTGAAAACTCGTTTGCAGGTTATTTTAATCAACATACTGTTAAGTGTTTGTATCCGAAAGTGCAACATTTGTTGTTTGAATCAAAGTTGTTTCTTTTTTCATAGATTTTTCTTTCATACTGTTTTTGCAGCAGTTATGGGCTCTATGCACAGCTCCACTACTTCCTGAATTTAATGCAGCTCCTTTGTTTCCTGTCTTTCATTACTGGACGAACTGATTAATCCAGGTGTGTCTGGCCAGTTACTTAGGTCATACACACCTGGATTAATCAGTGCATCCAATCATGAAAGACAGGAAACAAAGGAGCTGCCTTAAATTCAGGAAGTAGTGGAGCTGTGCATAGAGCCTATTGTTTTAGTATAAAAACTAAAATACCACCTCAAACTGAGGTCTTAAGGAGCTCTTTTTTGATGGAAGGGGCTTTGCCGTCTGGGGCCTCAAGCCCAAACAAAGCTGCCATCAATGTTTGCTGACAGATCTCTGTGAAGGGACTGCAGGATCCTGCGTATCCCTGTCACATCTACTAAAAGCTGTCTTTTTAGAACTGAATGGAAGTGTTTCAAAAAGCAAAGGTAACTTTCAAAGGCGGGACAAATCACATCTTTACTGAAGGGAATGAGGTTTAAACTAAGAATTTAACTTGAATCTTCATAAATGAGTGTTTTCCTTTAGAGTGGAAAGCACTAATCAGACAGCATATGGACTGTTTAATGCACGTATGCTGGGGCTTTATACATAAGAGCTCAGTTTTATCTTTGGTAACCAGGACATTTAGTTGTCAGACTCCTTCCCTGTCTGAACAGATTGTGTAAGCCACAAAATATGTCTGGAAATCCCCCTACTCCAATTATCCATCTCTATTCCCGTCTGTGATGGAATTCTGGAACTAATATTTACAGACAAGGATCTTTCCAGCTGCGGATTTCTGCACAGGAAGCCCAAAGCTGAGACTTAAATACATAGATGTCCTAGTTCATATACATGCTATGAGCTCATCAGACATCATGAGATCAAAACTGTTTTCTTTTTTATTAACAATGGCAACAAAGCTAGCACTACCTAGAGTTGAACAGTTCAAGAACAGATCAATAAGGTCTAAAGTTTTTAAATTTCTGTTCACTTCTGGGTAAAACTTCGAGAATGATGTTTTGGTGCTTAGTTTTCTTTTACCTGTAGATACTCTGCTTTGGAGTAGTGGTTTGTGTCCAAGATCTTCTTAACAGAGATGAACAAAACTCCTTTATTATTGTGATTTTAAAGCCCCAGTGTGTAGGACTTACTCCCATCTAATGATTGGCTTTATTAATCACAAATGACTGAGAACCTGTCCTAGTGCCTCACCGACGGAAGCCATGGACTGTCCTAAATGTGACTTTGTTCACAACCTGGACACGTTCAAGTGTCCTTTCAGGGGATGACGTACAGAGCGATAAAAAATTCTGATTGTTGTTTTTTATTGATGCCAATAAATTAGAGGCTACAGTGCCTGGCAAAGGTCCCCCTTAAACACTTTGTCATTTTACGAAATTTCAGACTTCAAACATAAAGATATTAAATTTGACTTTTTTTTATTGAGAATCATCATGTGAGACACAATCTATAAGTGCGAAGAAATTTATTGGATATTTTAAAGTCAACATATATAATGAAACAAATAGAACATTTGGCTGAAAGAAGCATAAGATCACCTGCCGGTATGACTTTTGTGAAACAAAAACAGCAACTGATAACTCCTGA